AATCCTTATCTAATGCTCTCCCCATGGTTAATCTTTAACATGTTTGTCCAGCAGGCTCAAGTCACTTCCAGTCAACTGAAGACTTACTGGCAACAGTCATCACACCATCAACACAAAAGGTGAAGAAGAACTTAAGTTAAAGGTGACCTTTTCTTTTCTTTTGATTTATACATTTAGTAAGAAATTACTTATTCATCCTTCAGCCAGCTTCTGTGTGTAGTTTTTAATTTAGAGGTGATTTTACATGGTTTAAAGGGATAGTACACACATTCATATTTTACATTGATGTAAAACCAGGTGTTGTCCCTGTGGTTACTGCACTGCAACTTGTGTTCTTGGTGATGACCATAAACTGACCGTGACATCACGAGATTTGGTGGCAATTTTTGTAAAAGTGATTAACGATCACTTCAGCCTGGCTCAGATTACAGGATAATCGGGCTGATTTGAGCTGCGATTCCCCCGTCCCGACAATCTAGGTGGGTGTTCCTGACTCGAGGCTGAACCAACTATCTGCCCCGATTATTGTGTAGCAGGAGTGGTATAAAGATCCAATCTTAACCTCCCTGATCTGCTCAGAGTGCATTGGCGGCTGCCCCGATAAATATCAAACATGTTTGAGATTAAGATTTAAAATCTTAACGATTACGTCATGAAAGGCTCAGGTGTAAGCTTGTGTGATTACAATAACCGCGAGAGACAAGGGAGGGTAGTAGTAATGGCGACAGGCAACAAAATGCAACCCGTACGGGTCTGATGGACTTCTCAGATGTACATAAAAGTTAAAATCTTACCTCCAGCTTTGTTTGAAGAACTGACAGTCCATGAAGTCCGCCTCTCCCCAGTCAAGTTATGTCTTTTCTGTATATGAAGTCTCTTGTTTGATTCAATGCTTTGCTTTGGCCAACACAGATCTGTCTCAAATTGTTTCACTAGTTTGCTCGACCCCTCACACAGGAAAATTTTACTGCTCAAGGCTTTCTCTTCTGCATCTCGGGAGACAAAATTCTGATTCTCATTCCAGCCTCTTTCAAGTTTCAAATATTTCTCATTCATTTCTTTTTTTGTTTCTCCTAAAATTCACTAGGAGAAATGGTTGAGACTATAGCCACACGAGTCTTATTTGAGACTTAAAGCAGATATCTTGTTAATGGCTCATTTTCATCTCCAAAGGAGAAAATAATGAGACAAAGAGAGACTGTGATGAGCCTACTAAAATTAAGCAGCCTTACAAATTCCAACCTACATAAACATCAAATGATCAACATTTGTTTCAATAAAAACAAACAACTTGATATGTTATAACAAATACTTCCGTTATTAAAACAGCTGATTAGGAAGCAAGTCTTCATTTTCATCGTCAACCAATACTGATGCTTCTATAAAGAACAGGTTTCAGCTGGGTGACCAACAAAACTAAAACAGACAATCAGCAAGTTTGCCCTTTTTTGTTACTTTTAGTTACTGTTCCTGTTATATGCACAAAATCTATGCAGACTGAAAGTTCTTCATATAAGCTTTAACCTAGACTCTTTGCAGAAACACCTACTTTTAGAACAGTATCTGGTGATGGGAAAACAATCCACAACATGAACAATTTCCAGTCCTTTACCTCAAGCAGCATTTCTTAATAGATGGTCTCAAAATGTCCATTCAATGTGCCACATTTAAGCCCTTAGCCCTCTTGTGACACTTGTTTATAAGGGCTTTCTTGGCCTTTGCTTTCTCCACTGGTGTCCACCCTTTCCATGTGCCAGAGTGCATGACGTAAGATGCAAAAATAAAAGAAAGCACAAATCACCAAAAAATAATTACAGATTAATACAGTAACAGTGTTCTTCATGGAGTCAACTCATGGAGTTCATCAAGTTTTTAGTTGTTACCAAAGAGACAATCAACATCCAGTCTTTGGAGTTTCCTCATTTTAACTTCATATCTTGTGCCTTTCAAATTACCGCTGACTTCTGACTAAATGGTGCAGAGAGCAACAGGTGAAATAGCTATAGGCCATCAGATTTAATTGATAAAATCAGTAATTTTTACCTTGTGAAATTATGTCTGTGGCTAAATTAAAAGAAACCTATTTCTCTAACGAGTACATCTTTGGACTGTGGGAGAAAGCCGGAGTGCATGGACATGCACGCATTGGGAGAACATGCAAACTCCACACAGGAAAAGGCCTGTTCAACGGGCATTTTAGAAGGAAATTTCTTGCTGTGAGGCAACAGTGCTAACCACTGCACGACTGTGCAACCTTGTAAAATATAAGACATTTTTAAAATACAGACAGAGAGCAGAATAAACAGCATATACTTCTGGATTATAAATATACTAATAATAATATTTTATTCTCACATTACTTGTTTCATTTTTCAATTCATTGCAGTAAACGGTGTGTCAAATTTTGCTATGTGTTCAGAGCTCCTTTCTAATTTGCAGGATGGAAATAAAAAATGAGAGCATTTATAAGTTTTGGGTGTCCAGCTGGTCAATTTTTAGTTCACTGCTGTCATAACAAAGTTCATAATTCTGGTATCCTTACTCTAGTATGCACACTGACAAAAGGGTCAAAATGAGTGACATACTTACTTAAAATCCCATTTACTTTTGACTTCTCCAAGACTGTCTTCCCCTCTGGCACTTTTCCATGTTTCCCCAAATGCCACTGCATTTTGGCACTCCTCTGATGGTGCCTCTGTTGGTGTTGGTGACCAACACCAACTCTAGGTCGTAGTTGCTCAATACTCTCCAAAAAGCATTAAGTTGGTCACCACCTATAACAGACAAGGTGAATTATTTAGATAGTGGCATTCAGAGTTAAGAAAAAGAAGGAAATAGTTTTGAATTTGATACAGGACATAATTTATTGATTTATATATTAGGGCAGGGTAATGCCAACTAAGGTCTAACATCAAGATCCCTCCTGGATGAAACACTGTTAAATGTTGAGCAGTGAAATAACAATATAGTTACGATCTTGGTCATCTTTTGGTGAGCCAGGAGCTGGTTCATCAAATCTCTCAGGTGGGTTGTTGGCTCGTTTGGGAACCTTTGTTTTTAAGGTTGCTCTGCATGGCATTGCATCCTGAAATACAGTACACAGAAGTAAAACATTTATAAGTGGTTCCAAGTTTTTTCAACGACCATGCTGGTGATGCTGTTTATATCCCAAACAAACAGAATAACGAGGTAAGATTAGCCAAAATCAATGACTTTACGCTGTTTTATGATCTGTAATTTATTGAAGACAAACAAGTTTAGCTGTGAAATAACCTTTTGTTGTAATTGACTCAATCGGAGCTCTGAAACAACTGGGAAAAAAAACCTGTGGCGCCTTGCTGCTAATCGCTAGATAACCTAAGCAAGTTCATAGCCACGTGCTAAAGTAGCTAACTAACTTTGACACTCAGCACCTAAAGACAAAATTCCTCAATGAAGTATCAGAACCAACACAAAATCATAAGAAATATGCTGAATTGTACAAAACTGGACTCAATATATTTAACAAAGGTGTAACTTACTGTCTTTTATGGGGTTCAGAGTTGCTCTTTTCCTGCATTCCTCCTCCGGGCTGCTTTCGCGCTCTCGGTGTCTTCCTTACGTCATAGGTCCGCCTTGAGAATTAAATTGACCAATCACAATTCGTTGTGTACAATGGACAGCGCACTCATCCAATAACATCTTTGATTGCTGACACAACGTCCTCTTCACCGCAGGACTGCGTCTTGATGCGCCTGCGCAGTTCAGCTTCGGTGAGTGATTAATAATTGTACTGAAATTTTGTAATTCTCTACAGAAAATGTGTTTATGGTTACAGGAGATTTCCTCTGTAAGCAGTTTACAGAAATAAGAAATTGCAGCTAATGTGCGTTTAGTGTTAATAGTATTGTCTTGTGTGTCTAATGGTGAAGTTTAACAACCAAATTGATATTTATTAGCATGCTAATCGCTAATAGCTAATCATGAGTGAAACTGATGTTAATTAGCCACATGCTAAGTGAACTCTGGTTAGAAGCTTGTACAGTTGCTTTTGTATTAAACCTGCAGCTAGTAATTAATATAATGTAATCTAACCCCCTCCAGTCCCTATACACTATTTTTTCATGTGAGCCTCTGTAACAGAGTTAGAATGAATCTCTTTTGAATTTCTACAAAATTAATGTGTCTGTCATATTTATGTTACTTTGTTGCCGCCTGGTGGTCTAATAGCGCAACTGTAGGGCTCCTAGCTGGCCACCGTACGTACCTCAGCAAAGGAATCTCTCCTGAGCTGAAGGTGGGTGTGTGTGTTAAATGCTGCGACCAACATATCTCTGTTTAATGGTTTAAAACTGTTCCAAAAACTTTAGGTAACATGTATTTTGTCCATGAACCCGTTTAGAATGTACTGTTAGAGTTTCGGACATTTATGTGTAGAAATGTTTGTTTTATTTTACGAGTTTCAGTTTGTTTACATACCGAGCTAATGCTAGTTAGCTTACCAGTTAGCTGCTTCCTCGTGGCCGTGATGCTCACGTTAATGCTCTTGTGTGCGTGTTTTTGTGTTATACAGATGTGAGTCCTTGCAGTTGCATATCAATGCTGATTGTGTGCTTTTGTATTATACACCAGGTAGGCATGGTTAAATTAGTTTTACATAAAATGTGAACTGTAAATTCATGTTGTTTGTGTTAATTGTAAAAAGCTATAAAATGCACTTCATTGATGGTTATGTGTTAAAATGATTTTGGTATGTTTATATACAGATAAAAATTGAAAATGCTCTTATTTGGTACTCAAAGACAAAGTAAAATTCCACTATACGATCACTTGTGCTAAAAATGTATTTAATTGATATAATTTCAGGATGTTATGTAAAAATACTCTTAAAAAGAAAAAGGAATCTCTCCTGAGCTGAAGATGTGAGTCCTTGCAGTTGCATATCAATGCTGATTGTGTGCTTTTGTATTATACACCAGAATAAAAAGGAAAGAGATCCAGAGTGAGAGCAACTCCGGCTGTTGTGGCGTTCTTCCTGCACCATAAACATCTGAGGCAGACACACACCCTCCATAGTCCAGCAGAGAAACACAACCGGTTACACCTCAGATAAAATGAACACTGAAAATGTACATAAATCACACATAAAGAACAGTAACAGCATCATAGGACACTGAATTACTGTTTACATGTTTGGTCTTACTGTCCTGCAAAGTCTTGGAGTGTAGTTGTCAAATTAGAAATAAAAAGTTCATCAGCAGGGAAAATTAGTTTTCATTTTTGAAATAATACAAAATTTACCTGCAGGCTTTCATTTGTGAACTTTAGCTTTGAAATCATGTCTGTATTAATGTCAGGAAACCTGATTTGTCCACATGTCAATGTCCACAGACCACTGTGTCTTTGGTGAACTCTAGGGATCTGGGTTGAGTCCAAATGCCCTTTATCTTCATCAGTTAATTCAACTGTTTTACTTTATTTTTGCTATATTCCCTACTGAATAGAGGCTTGACAAATCACTATATGTATTAACAGTGTGTGTGCCTTTTCTGTCATTCATACAGTTTCCCTGTCCTTGCAACCACGTTATCAAAGGTCATCATTGCTCCTTTATAGTTGGATAGAGCTTTTTGGCAGTGGGGTAAGTAATACACAATTTACCTCTATATTTTAATTTGGTGAGCTCAGAACTTTGATGTATAGAGTCACATATTAGACGGTTCTCTCTGTTACCATCATCAAAACACTAAAAGAGGAAACATGTTTTTTTTTTTTTTAGAATGGTGTACACTCCTGTAGTATTCACAGATTTGTAGAATCAGTGCCAAGGCATATTGAAGCTGGTCTGGCTGCCTGTCGTAGCTCAACACCTCACTAAGACACTTAATGTTGAGTCTTTTTTACCTGCCTGTATATGTGTTTATGATTTACTTAAAAATAGAATAGTTCAAATATTCAGGAAATGTTTTGTAATTAAAGAAAGAGAGGCTTTTTGACTTTGAATTAAGGTACTTATTACTCCGGGTATTAATTGCTTATTTTTTGTCCATTGAAATTATTTCAGGGGAAGAGCTGGGGTTTGATCCATTGGAAAATGACACAAAGATATGACTCACGCTGGAGAGTTTTTGTGGTTATATGGTCAACTGTTATTTAAGGTCTACAGTTCAGTAGTTTCTTTGCCTTTGGCAGCATAATACTATGTAAGAATATAAGAATTTTGTGCTTTGTTTGAAATTACAGTTTTGTCAAGAATATACACAAACATGCCATTTTTTTCTGAGTGACTCTAGATAAAATTATTGCACTAGAAACACAACAGCCTATAAGTATGTTGTAAGTTGAATATCTTAACCTTATGATTCCTCTGTTTTCAGAAGGACACACAAAGAGTGGAGAACTCAGGTAACAACTGCTCTAACAAAAACACATTTTCTAAATACACAGACATATGAAGTTTTGTGAAAGTCAACAAAATAGGCTGTAAATTATTGATATGATTCAGAAGCAAACGATCAGTGAGTTGGTAAAGTATGACCACATACCCCTTCTATTGCATGTTAAGCAAACTGCAACTGAGAAGCATGCCTCCCAGAAATATTTAACAAGTTTTTTGAGGCAGCTATGTCTTCACCTCTACCCTGTGTTGTCTGCACATATGCCTATTACATTGCTTATGGGGCTATGATTTGATAATGAAATTAATATCCAAAAATTCAAATATAATATCTTTTGAAACACATTCTTCGTCGCTCTATTAGTGTAGTAACTGGCTATGGGTTAAGATGGACAGAATTTCTATGAAAAATAAACACGTACAGACTAGTAAGCCACAAACTCATGAATATTGCCTTTGAACACTTGGTGTACATTTAACAAATTTGTAAAATGTTTTATATGATTTTGTTTTGTGTCTAGAATCAACAAACTGGAGGCCAGATGGTTGCTGCACAGAAGGACTAGAGTGCCATGCTACTCCTGAATCTGACTTTGCCCTTGAGGAACATCCATCAATCAGGAATTTGTGTGACAACAACAACCATACATTTTCCCAATGCTCTGAACACACAAAAGAGACACATCACGCTGGCCTTAATGAAGAATCAGAGAGTGAAGATCCTCTTCACATAGATACATTTGGTCACCCCCTACATGAGTTTGTTGAGGAGGGAACTTAAGATCATAACCAGTCATCTGATGATGACCTGTCCTTTGATGAAGACCTATTATGTGAAGACAGTGCAGAAGCGAACAACTTGGTTTAAAATGCCTTGGAAGTGTTTTTTTGGAAAGGACCAACATGTAAAATCAATTAAAATGAGCATGGTGTATCTGAGCAACTGGTCACGTGTTAATAATCCTGTCTATTTTCTTTTATTTTCATAACTGTATACTGTATAATAATGGGTTCTTAGAATTTTATTAAGAATTGACCTAGTTTTGGCCCATTTTCAAAACCTATTATGTGTCGGTGTCTGCCTGCTACAGCTTACTGCTCCCCAAGTCTCCATGTGTCTGTAGCTCATATTGTTAATATTCATAGGCCAATAGGTAGAAAGCTCACTCTGAAAAAGTAAAGCAGTTTGATTATGGTAAATATTTTCTTGCATACATACTATGTGCTGTGAATATTAAAAAAAGTGCAGATAACAGGACCATGCAAAATTAAATAGATAAAAGAGAATAAGTTAAAAGCCAGTTAGGTTGTCAGACCTATAAAAATAGGGCTTTGTTTTAAAATGTATTGCATTAAAATAGTACATTTTCATGACACCGATAAATCACAAGCAAAAGGCTCTTTTTTGCTCCATGTGAGATCAACATGACTCAAAAACTGAGTTTAAAAAAAAGTGAAGGGAGGTTAGATTGAGTAAATTGAGAGAGCTCTCCAAGTTCTCCACCTGAGCTCAAAAAGAGTCTCAAAACTTGAGGAAAATCCAAGAATCATTTCAGAACTTGATGAGATCTCCTTTGGAACTGAAAGGGAGACTAGGTTGAGAATTTGTGCAGCTATTTTATCTGGAGGCAAGGGTGAGAAGCTGGAGAAATAAGCCATTGTCTCATTTAGCTTTCACATGGATCTCAGTGTTGTCTTGGAGAAATAAATGAAACCTTTTTAAGATCTCTTTTCTAAAATTATTTTCCTCTGGGCTGGTGCTCTACCTCCTGCTTATTGAGACAGGACGATTCAACAGCTTGTGATTAATCTCCCTCGTTCTCTCTTTCTATAGGAAATATGAATATAGTGTCTCTCTTAATTAGTACTTGATTGAAAGAAGAAGAAAAGCGACTGAGTGAACACTGATTTTTATTCAAATTGTCACAACCAAGACACAAAAGAATCAGAAGAAGTTCATTTTGAGAATATTTTTTATCCTGCCAGCTGTGTCCTCTAGTTAATAATGTAAATTCCTCAAAAAAAAACTTTACTGGCAGGAGGGAAGGTGTATAACACCATCATTACAAACTTGATGCATACCCACTGAACCAACAGGTCGTCTTCCATAGGTACAACTGAATGTTATTCTGTCATTATGAGGTGCATACAGCTTCTCTTCATTAGAGTGTGTGAAGCGAATATTGTATCTATTCATGGTTTCTCTGGTCACAGTGCAGGGCCCTGTAAGACATAACAGAAAAAAACAGCATTATGATTACCCTAAAGACTGCACAGCATACTGTTAATAATTACTGCTAGGTTTGGTTACAACATATTAGAGCCCGACCGATATGAGATATTTGATCTGTATAGATGGCTATAGATATAACCATTTGTTGCTTTGATCCCCCAAAGGCAGTTATCAAACACTTGTGGAAAAAGTATATAATGAAGAAAAGATGGTCACTTGTATGTGCGTCACCACTTGACACTCTGGAGAGTGATGATGCTTGTTGTAATCCATATAGCGCCCTCTGCTAGTGACAGAGAACTGCTAGTGTGATACAATGAATTTAAATGAAAGGTTAGTGACCGGTGAATAAATCTAGTAATATCGACGTATTTATGTGATACAGTTAGCCAATACCAATAGTCACTGAATATGCTAATATGGCCCGTTATTATCGGCTTGTGGATTAATCGGTCGGGCTCTACAAAATATAGTGATAGAAATCGAAGAACAATGGTTGGACCAATGTAAGAGAATAAAGAAGGTCAGTAACATATTCTGTTACAAAACTTAACATTTAGAGCACAAGTACGAGACACAAAACTATCAAAACAGATAGCTAGTTAGATAGCTAACTAAAGTTAAAATATTGATATCTTGCGCCAGTAATGTGATGATTTCATCGCACAGGTCAGGATGAGGATATATCATATTTGAGCTATACAGAAGGAAATTCTGGAGGATAAAAACTTACTGAGGCATTTCATCTGTCCAGTCCATTCACCATTCTTGCAGGTTTTATAAGGTCTGCCATTCATGGTATATAAATGCTGACAGTCATACTCAACCCAGTCGTTGTGTCTGTACTTAGAGTGGGCACTGTTCTTGGTGTCTCCATTTGCAAGGGGTGGTGGTCTCCCACAGCCTTTAGGAGCTGAAGGAGCATAAGCAATAACAGAGAAAATGCAAGTTAATTACCATTTTATCCAATTATGACATATTTTCCTTTCAAATACCGATATCAGACTTAAATAGAAAGTGACAGAATATTTTGCAACTACATTTTGTGGCCTAAGGGTAGGGTGGCGGCACTCCGAGATTGCATTATACTTGACACCTTAAAGTAGGCCATGGATCATCTTTTTTCAACATTTCCCCTTGGAGTAAAAAAGATAAAGAATAAGTTGACTTACGTCCGCATGTTGGGAACTGATCACTCCACTGTCCGCCAGCTAAACATTCAACCATCATGTTCCCTTGAAGAACGTGTCCGTGCTGATTGCTGGGACATTCGAAGTTGATTTTTTGTCCTTGTCTTACTTGGTTGTTCCGTGGTCGAGGCGGGGTGATGCGTATGCCGGGTGGTAACACTGTGAACTTGCATGTGTCTGTCATGAGGGAAAAAGCCTGTTAAATCCAAAGGTCTTTGACATATAAACTGTAGAATAAATATTCATTAAAAAATGCTTTTAACTGATTAGTCACATGTTAAAACGTAATTTCTGCAACAATATTTTCATTGTCATGGCAACACACAGTCCAACATTGAATGCCTAATAGTTAAGTTCAATGTACCACCCGCAACGTTAATATAACAAAAAAACATTACATCTTGATACAGGCAACGTAAAGTAAAATATGTACTTTTGTTGTGTTAATAAGGAATGGTGAGTATTTTGGTTAAAATAAATGGAACAAATATAGGATAGACAATGTTTTACCTAAGCTTCATGGGCCCACCAATGTGGATGGGTCCCAGAAAGCTTTTCCCTTTCCCCCCCTTTATGGGCAGCCTTGGACACTAATAAAGTTAGAACTTAACCAGTATCAATGTAGGGTTTAGTGTGGACTGCACCTTAACTTAAGACATAACTCACACACATCTGGCCGCTGTATTTGCTTATTAATTTTGACTACTTGAGTAACTTTTGTATAAAAGCAGCATCACACTCGAGGTAGAGATGTACTGATTATCAGCACTTCCATGTTTAATTTCCCAATCGGCCTGCGACTGAATTACAGAAGTGCTGATATTCAGTCCAACATCACTGCCTCTCATGTGATTGTTAAAAAGGTTGAACATGAAATCTGCCGTTGGAAAAGAAACACACACGAATTGGATTCACTTCACTATGGAAGTCAACGTACCAGTGCATGTTGGAAAGGCTTTATTCCACTGCCCATTTTGTAAACATTCGATGACTTCTGGCCCCTGCAGTGAGTATTGATCATCGCACTGGAACCGTAGATTATGTCCAACGTTATAGGTTTTATTTGCAATGATTGGTCCAGTTACAGTGAGACGGGGATCCATCTCGCCAACAGTACAAGTTATATCTGCAAAGAATAAAACAGATGTAATCAAATTAAAAACTAAGTTTCAGTGGACTTGGGGTTTTACATGCTTTATGTTTGTAATGTATGCAGTCATTTTAGTGTATTTAAACATGCTCTAGAATTAAGTATCACATAATTCTTTTTTGTACCTTCACAAGTAGGAAATGGATGGTCCCACTCCCCTTCATGACCACATATCAGCACTGAACTGCCGTTAAGATAAGTCCTAGGATCATCACAGCTGAACGTGAGGAAACGGTCAGGAAGTATGAGCTCTTGATTTTCATAAAAACCTTTTACTGTAATCCGTCCATCTGCCGGCGGATGCTCACAGCTCACAGCTGAGTGAACACAGGGAGGTAGATAAAGGGAAAGAAAAGAGAACGATTGATGAGGCATATTAGAGAAGTGGCCATTTTCTTCTTAAACGCTGTTGTGAGGTTGTAGTGCTGTATTTCAGGTTATTTGGTTTGACAACAGCTAACATTACCATTCAACCTCCTTTGAGCTAACATTAGCTCCTGACACCTTCCTTAATGTATTGTTGTCGCTGTACAATTTCAGACAAAATTTTTCATAGTGTCGGTTGTGCTGTGTACGCCGAGCCTAAGTCCTCATTTTTTTTCTTTTTTTTGTTACAATTTTGTTACTATCGTTTCCAAGACTTACGACCACATATTGGCACGTGATTGGTCCATCTGTCCAGCAAACATGTCCTTGTGTCTTCCTTGCTCACCATCTGATACCTGCAAAGTAATAAAACATTACTGGATTAAAACCATAAATTTGAGTATTTACCTATTTACCAAAGGGGTACAAACAATGTGTCAGGTAAATACTGCCATTTGTGCCCTCATATATCTTTTAAATATTGGAACCTCTCTGTGACACTATTGCTCAGGTGTTTGACAACATAATGTGTTAAATTTGGTTAAAAAATTATGGATATGGTTGTAATTACAATCTTACCATTTGTTTTCTAGTGTGTCTATGTGTTATCGTAGGTCCACATACCCTCTGTTACAAAAGTATTTGATCGTTGTTCCAAAAACAAAGTCTGCACCCTTGATTATTTCATAGTAGCCGTTGGGAGTATCATCAGGAAGTTCACATGGCTTTACTGAAAGAGAAGAAGAAGAGGACTCATCAAGTGAACATTTAAAGGTGAACGATATTGTAAACCTTTTTTTTCAAATACTGTATATATTCACAATAAATCGTAATATTGGAAATGTGTCAGTAATCTTTAAAAAACCTACTAAGAAAAATCAAAATTGAACGGATGTTTAAAAAATACATTGAAATAAAGCTTTTAAACAATTCACTTTTGTTGTAAGTTGACTACCCCGGTTACCAGGTCGCCCCAGGAGAACAAAAGAATCGACATTTAACTTACAGTAGCAGGTTCCTTCATGGACTGCTATCCAGCCACTTTCTGAGCACACATATCTGATGGGGGGACCTGATATATATCCTATTTCACAAGTAAAGCGAATCACATTTCCTTGCTGATATTCATCTTTTTTGGTGTTGTCTGAGACATGGGCGTGAGGAATATCTGGGAGCTGTGAACAGTCTGATGAGAGACAGAATGGAGGAACAAATTAGTTATTGGACATTTCTTTTCAACAGCTGCGTGCTACAGACGCAGAGTTTTCCCCAAACTGTAAGACCGTTAGATCTTTCACAACTGGGTAATAATACTTGAGACAATACAGTGCATATGTAAGTCAACCACACCTCCAATTAACACTAGTCCTTAAGATTATATCAAAACATATAATCATCATTGCCGTTTTTGAATGCCCCTTTTCTGATCCACCCCTCTCTCTTTTTAAGTTAAACGCTGCAAAGCAAGTATTTTAAAAAGTATGTCTTACCGTTCTGTGACAAGGAAACTTTAACATTCCCCCACAGCTGGAGAAACAAAAGGATAAGAGTCGATCGCATTTCAACCTACAGCCAAGCAGTGACACGCACAAGTGTAGCCTTTATGATAAGCTCTGTTTTCTCTGCTGAGTCCCTGTGTGTGTGTTCCCTCAGCTGCAGCACTGTGGGAGCACTGAGGGTTGCAACATTGAACTGCCCAGTGGGATTGCACAAGCCACATGAACACAACATGACGCATAGAAACACACAGCGATACTACACTATGCAGAAACTTTACTTAAATCTTCATTGTTGCAATCAAAACTGTGTGTTCCTTTCTGATTTTCTCGTTAAAAAATGCCAAGAGGTTTGCTTTGCAACTATTATATAAATGATGTAACCTCGTGTTTTAAAGGACACATGTCAGATAGCATTTATAATCAAATACATTAAATAACACTTTAACCAGATGGCACCAAAAGTTCAAGTTAAAAAGAAATGCTGAATGTTTGTTACATTTGTGTTTGCAAACATTAGGCTTCCAGTTGGCAAACAGATTTCAATATTACTGGAATAGAGCTGGTACAGGACAAAGTTCATTGGAAAAAAATCCCTCCATGGAGCAACCAGTCAATGAAGAAATTAGATTAAAAGTCACTGACTGAGCAAGCAAAAACAGTTTTATGTCAACATGAATGATTCATGTTTAAAAAAAAGCAACGCTGCTGTGAACACATGAGACTGAATTCCTTCAAAAGACGTCACAGTAACTTGTTGTTCTCAGTCTGAGGACCTTAAAAGATGAAAAAGTACCAGTCTTAAAAACAGTCTATGCAACTAAAACCTGACAGAGAAAATTTTACACAACTAAGAGTAAAGTATGAGCATCAAATTATAGTCGTGCCCTAACTATAAGCTTTATCAAAAAGGAATACTTTAAACAGGACATATGATCCCCCTTTTCAAACAGTCCCCTGTGGTCTAAATGAAACATCTGTGCTGTGCTTTGGTCAAAATATAACACGAATCAAGCACCAGAGGAGGTTTGTGACCCTGTATAAACCAGCTCTCTCAGAACGCTCCGTTTTGGTGTGTGTGTCTCTTTAAATGCAATGAGCCCCCCCGGAGTTTTCCCGGTTTACATCCCACCTCTGTAGCGAGAATAAAAATGGCGGACCTGTGCAAAAGTTTAGCTCTAGGCTGGGGGTGGAGATACAATGGAAGGGAGGGTATTTTTTTCCCACTAGCCCACTGTGATGTCACAAGGAGAAAAAATATGAAATTTTTCTCTGTTGTTAGACTTATGCAGACCACAAACAAAGGACTGGATGGTTTTTTTTCACAATTAACGTGTGAAAAATTAGATTTCTAGATGAAAGTCTTAATGTTACAAGATAAAGTTGAAATACTACGAGAAGAAAGTAAATTCACCATAATTCACCACAATTTTGGGGGCGCCAGCATGGCCATAACTTGTTATGAGGACAAGGAGGTCAGGACCTGGGTCCAATCAATGTATGAAGCACTAGATAGCTTTTACAATGGAGGAAAAAAAACTCTGCAGGTGACCAGAGAGAGAGAGAGAGAGAGAGATAGAGCAGTGTCTGCTGTTGAGTCTCATTGAATGCATCTGTTTCACTGCTCCCAGAGTGTTGCATTTGAGGGAACACACACACAGGGACTCTGCAGAGAAAACAGAGCTTATCAAAAGGGCTACACTCGTGTGTTTCTCTGCTCGACTGTAGGTTGAAATGCATTTGACTTTAATCCTTTTGTTTCTCCAGCTGTGTGGGAATGTGAGAGTTTCCTTATCACAGAATGGTAAGATGGACTTTTTTTGTTGTTGCAATTTTTAACTTAAAGAGAAAGGGGTGGATCAGAAAAGGGACATTCAAAAACAGCAATGATAATTGTATGTTTTGATATAATCTAAAGGACGAGTGTTAATCAGAGGTATGGTTGACTTACATATGCACTGTATTGTCTCAAGTATTATTACCCAGTTGTCAAAGATCTAATTATGTATTTTTAAACATCAGTTCAATTTTGACATTTGTTAGTGAGCTTTTCAAAGATTTTGATAAGTTCAGGAGTAGTTTAATTGGATTACTGACACATTTTCAATATTACATTTTTTTGTGCATCTATGAGAAAAAAAATTTGCGATACCATAAGCTCAGTACAATATGGTCAATGCAATATAAACAACATGACATGATACGATACCAATGATACGATGCGATATCATACAAATGATAAGACATACAAACAACAATGAAACAATGCAGTGCGATACAAAAAGATGAAAACGAAACAATACGATACAATCGATACAAATGATATGTTAGGATTTGATATGAACGAAACGATGTGATACAAATGGCGAGATAGGATACAAACAAATTGTTATGATACAAACGATAAAAATGATATGATGCAAACAATATGATATGATACAAACGATATGATATGATACAAATGATATGATATGATACAAACGATATGATATGATACAAACGATATGATATGATACAAATTATATGATATGATACAAACGATATGATATGATACAAACGATATGATATGATACAAACGATATGATATGATACAAATTATATGATATGATACAAACGATATGATATGATGCAAATTATATGATATTATACAAATGATATGATACAATACAAATGATACAAACAATACAATATGATACAAACAATATGATACGATACAAACGATACAATATGATACAAACAATATGATACGATACAAACGATACAATATGATACAAACGATACAATATGATACAAACAATATGATATGATACAAACGATACGATATGATACAAACGATATGATATGATACAAAATACAATATGATACAAACGATATATGATACAAATGAAACAATATGATACAAACCTATAAACCTTTTTTTTTATAACGCATCCGTTTAGATTTCATGAACGTTATGTGTTATCCATAGTTACGCGCGTAGCTGACATGATTGACAGGTGGGCGCGATGTAATGGTTCATCAAGAGGCTTTAAACCCGCCTCAGCTCCAGCTCTCAATCTGTCGTTAGGTTGACTGAAAGTTAGGCTGAGACAACATTTCCAACATGGCGGCTGCTGCTGGTGAGCCTCCGGAGCCCCCTGCAGGAGCAGGCAGCTGACGTCACTCAGGCTCCGTCCATTAATATTTACAGTCTATGATTGTTCCTGGTTTGATAGAAATCACAATGTCAAAGTGGGCTCTACTTTACTGTTTTCTTATTGTTGAATTTACTTGTTATAAATTGTATTACAAAAAGAATAGTTTTTTTTTGTTTTGTTTTGACTAATTTTCTCAATTTTCATGTTTGAAGTAAGACCATTTGGTTATCTTGGCCACGCCCGGTTTGCAGATTTCCATCTAGAAAGAGGCAACGATTTTGTGTTTGGGTCAAAAGTTGTATACACCTGTCAAAAAGGGTAAAAAAAAGTAGCCTATAATATCTCCTTGTATTGTCCATGTATCATGTTGAGCATAACAGGGAGTTAGATTTAAACGTGGCTCTAAATACAGAATTTTATGATCTATTTTCTACATAATCCTGGTTCCAGTTATCTAATGGTCAGCCGGAGTAACTCTCGCATCTGCATGGCTGGAGGCTGGGATGGTGTTGTTCCTTGATTTCTTTGTCATTCTCTTATAAAGAGTTAATCGCTCACCTGCCTAAGTGTGGATACATTTAAATTTCATCATGTTTCCTTCTCCAACTCAGCAGTGTCCAGTGATTCATGTGGCCGATAATGTTCAGATGATCTGGGACCCGGAGGACGCAACCTACGGCAATGTAGTTCGATTTAGCTGCAAGTCTAACACAGAGGTTCTGAATGGGACGTCAGAGATCTCTTGTGATGAAAATGGAGAGTGGAGTGCCCAGGCTCCAAGCTGTGAAGGTAAAGCAGGCTTTCTTAAGAGAGCACCGAACACACAGGAAAATCTTCAGAGAGAAATGGAGAGGAATGGGAGAAGCAAAGAAAGAACCCTTTACATGCATAAAACACTACAGCAACCACTATTAATCACCAAACATCTTAAACCAAACCGACCACCAATTGGCCGTTATGTAACATCTGAATAACTCTGACAATGTAGAGGCAGTAATGTTGGATCCCCGTCTCACTGTAACTGGACCAATCATTGCAAATCAAACCATTAAAGTTGGACATAATCTACGGTTTCAATGCGATGAGCACAAATATGATATATCCTCATCCTGACCTGTGCGATGAAATCATCACATTACTGGAGCAAGATATCAATATTTTAACTTGAAAACAGTGCAGCTAACGTAATGGCTATCTGTTTTGACAGTTTTGTGTCTCGTACTTGTGCTCTAAATGTTAAGTTTTGTAACAGAATATGTTACTGACCTTCTTTATTCTCTTACATTGGTCCAACCATTGTTCTTCGATTTCTATCACTATATTTTGTAGAGCCTGACCGATTAATCCACAAGCCGATAATAACGGGCCATATTAGCATATTCAGTGACTATTGGTATTGGCTGACTTCATGACATAAATATTTATTGATTGGTTATATCTATGGCCATCTATACAGATCAAATATTTCATATCAACAAAATGTAGTTGCAAAATATTCTGTCACTTTCTATTTAAGTCTGATATCGGTATTTGAAAGGAAAATATGTCATAATTGGATAAAATGGTAATTAACTTGCATTTTCTCTGTTATTGCTTATGCTCCTTCAGCTCCTAAAGGCTGTGGGAGACCACCACCCCTTGCAAATGGAGACACCAAGAACAGTGCCCACTCTAAGTACAGACACAACGACTGGGTTGAGTATGACTGTCAGCATTTATATACCATGAATGGCAGACCTTATAAAACCTGCAACAATGGTGAATGGACTGGACAGATGAAATGCCTCAGTAAGTTTTTATCCTCCAGAATTTCCTTCTGTATAGCTCAAATATGATATATCCTCATCCTGACCTGTGCGATGAAATCATCACATTACTGGAGCAAGATATCAATATTTTAACTTGAAAATAGTGCAGCTAACGTAATGGCTAGCTGTTTTGACAGTTTTGTGTCTCGTACTTGTGCTCTAAATGTTAAGTTTTGTAACAGAATATGTTACTGACCTTCTTTATTCTCTTACATTGGTCCAACCATTGTTCTTCGATTTCTATCACTATATTTTGTAGAGCCCGACCGATTAATCCACAAGCCGATAATAACGGGCCATATTAGCATATTCAGTGACTATTGGTATTGGCTAACTGTATCACATAAATACGTCGATATTACTAGATTTATTCACCGGTCACTAACCTTTCATTTAAATTCATTGTATCACACTAGCAGTTCTCTGTCACTAGCAGAGGGCGCTATATGGATTACAACAAGCATCATCACCCTCCAGAGTGTCAAGTGGTGACGCACATACAAGTGACCATCTTTTCTTCATTATATACTTTTTCCACAAGTGTTTGATAACTGCCTTTGGGGGATCAAAGCAACAAATGGTTATATCTATAGCCATCTATACAGATCAAATATCTCATATCGGTCGGGCTCTAATATGTTGTAACCAAACCTAGCAGTAATTATTAACAGTATGCTGTGCAGTCTTTAGGGTAATCATAATGCTGTTTTTTTCTGTTATGTCTTACAGGGCCCTGCACTGTGACCAGAGAAACCATGAATAGATACAATATTCGCTTCAGACACTCTAATGAAGAGAAGCTGTATGCACCTCATAATGAAAGAATAACATTCAGTTGTACCTATGGAAGACGACCTGTTGGTTCAGTGGGTATGCATCAAGTTTGTAATGATGGTGTTATACACCTTCCCTCCTGCCAGTAAAGTTTTTTTTTGAGGAATTTACATTATTAACTAGAGGACACAGCAGGCAGGATAAAAAATATTCTCAAAATGAACTTCTTCTGATTCTTTTGTGTCTTGGTTGTGACAATTTGAATAAAAATCAGTGTTCACTCAGTCGCTTTTCTTCTTCTTTCAATCAAGTACTAATTAAGAGAGACACTATATTCATATTTCCTATAGAAAGAGAGAACGAGGGAGATTAATCACAAGCTGTTGAATCGTCCTGTCTCAATAAGCAGGAGGTAGAGCACCAGGGGTCGAGCAAACTAGTGAAACAATTTGAGAGAGATCTGTGTTGGCCAAAGCAAAGCATTGAATCAAACAAGAGACTTCATAAACAGAAAAGACATAACATGGCTGGGGAGAGGCGGACTTCATGGACTGTCAGTTCTTCAAACAAAGCTGGAGGTAAGATTTGAACTTTTATGTACATCTGAGAAGTCCATCAGACCCGTACGGGTTGCATTTTGTCGCCTGTCGCCATTACTACTACCCTCCCTTGTCTCTCGCGGTTATTGTAATCACACAAGTTTACACCTGAGCCTTTCATGACGTAATCGTCAAGATTTTAAATCTTAATCTCGAACATGTTTGATATTTATCGGGGCAGCCGCCAATGCACTCTGAGCAGATCAGGGAGGTTAAGATTGGATCTTTATACCACTCCTGCAACACAATAATCGGGGCAGATAGTTGGTTCAGCCTCGAGTCAGGAACACCCTCCTAGATTGTCGGGGGGGGGGAATCGCAACTCAAATCGGCCCGATTATCCTGTAGTCTGAGCCGGGCTGAAGTGATCGTTATTCACTTTTGAAAAAAATTGCCACCAAATCTAGTGATGTCACGGTTGCTGACATCAGTTTATGGTCATCACCAAGAACACAAGTTGCAGTGCAGTAACCACAGGGACAACACCTGGTTTTACATCAATGTAAAATATGAATGTGTGTACTATCCCTTTAAACCATGTAAAATCACCTCTAAATTAAAAACTACACACAGAAGCTGGCTGAAGGATGAATAAGTAATTTCTTACTTAATGTATAAATCAAAAGAAAAGAAAAGGTCACCTTTAACTTAAGCTCTTCTTCACCTTTTGTGTTGATGGTGTGATGACACTGTTGCCAGTAAATCTTCAGTTGACTGGAAGTGACTTGAGCCTGCTGGACAAACATGTTAAAGATTAACCATGGGGAGAGCATTAGATAAGGATTTTTAAAACAGTAAAGCACTTAATAATGACACATAACTTAACTTTTTGTCCTTTCTCTACTGAATGCTTTGGTTTTCAAAATAAAGCTATGACAATTCTAAAATAGATAATGAAACAATGGACTCCAAGTTACTGTAAATTACCAGACATCTGAAAAGCTTGATAGTGCCCATAGGCTGCCTCTGGCCACTACCGCTTGCCGATGGAGATGTGAAGGAAAGCTTGAAACCTCTGTACAGGCACAATGAAAGAGTTGAGTACGTATGTCAGAGATTTTACACCATGGACGGGAATCCTTACAGAACCTGCAACAACGGAGAATGGACCGGAAATATGAGATGCCTCAGTAAACTTTTATATGCATCCTGTTTTACACACATGCACAAGCAGCACCTATATTCACTGATGAAGGGATGTCAGAGTGGGGTTTCTACACACCGCTAAGCAGGGAGCGTATCAGAGCGGTTGGGGGTTTCGTTCTTAGCTTGGAGGTGCTCGTTCACCTGTCCAGATACCACAGATACTGGTGACTCTTGAAATGACTTTAAAGTGTGCCAACATTTGCAAACATAAAGGTAAGAAAATATTCTTAAATACTACTCATTTCAGTAATGAGAATAATTCAAACAAAGAAGGACATTTGGGAAATAGAAGTCAATACAGTGAAGTCAAAAACAGAGAGTGAAAATCTCTGTACACCTGAGTGTGTGACAGCTGCATCAGAGGACGCTAATTATACCTGATGAAGGTCGGTCCGACCGAAACTTTGTTATATCAGCATAAATCCTGACGGTGTGTGCGGGCCTTTCTCATTGTCCAAAAATAGAACGTAAAATGTTTTTAAAAAAGAAAAGTACAGGTAAAAAAATAACTAGTTAAAAACCTGAAACCAGGAAACAATCTCCAATTAAAAAACATTTTAATACATTGAACTTCCCCACTGGGGATCAATTAAGAATTATCTTAGTAAGTGTTATACTTTTCAGGTATATTCATATTTCACTTGAGAATATCATTCTGGTTGAGCTGAAATATTCACTTTCTCCCAACACGTTCAAAACGAGCTCATTACTTCAGCTTCAATACTTATGAGGACAGTTATTGACGCTATACAAATAAAGATGGATTTTTGATTGATTGATTAATTCATTATGATTTTTTTTGCTTTTGCAGAACAACTTTTTATTTAAATCAAATTACTTACTTTTTAAAAATGATTTAGTTGAAGTATTTTCTCTCATTGGATGAGAAGTTTAGAAAACTTTGCACAAAAGAAAAAAAGTCCATTGGATGTCTTTATACTTGTACTTAGTGTTGTAGTCAAGACCACAATAACCAAGACCAAGACATACCCGAGACCAGAGTGCTCTGAGACCAAAACAAGACCAAGACACTTAGGGATCGAGACCGAGTCAAGACTGAGACAAAGGCAGGGCGAGACCGAGTTCTTCTAATCACAGAAATGATGTGGAGAAAAAAAACAGATCAGTGGTGGTCTTCAATTAAAATCCTGAATCCACCCAGTCTGAGACGGAGACAAGACTGAGCAAAAATGCTTTTGATTCCGAGACGAAACCAAGACCTTCAAAAAGTGGTCTTGAGACCAAGACCGGTCTCGCGTACTACAACACTACTTGTTCTTGAACAGTTGTGTTTTGTCTTTTTTAATAATGAATTTTTGAAAGACATAAAAAGTAAAAAAGTATATCTGGAAATGTCATTAATCTCTTTGTCTGTGTTCTCTTGCAGAACCGTGCACTGTGGCCAGTGAAAGCTTGAGCAAACACAGCACTCAGGAGAAGCTGTATTTAAGCCATAATGATGTGGTAACGTTCAGTTGTACTGTAGGAAGACCCGGCGCCTCAATGAACATGCGTCCAGCTTGTAATGACGGTGTGATTGACCTTCCCTCTTGCCAGTAAAGTTTTTTGAACATTTACATCAGAAACTTGAGAACATCGCTGGTAGACTAAATATGAAGTAAAAAGGAATTCATTCATTTTATTTCTGTGTCCGGGTTGTTGACAGCTTTAATAAAGATTTGTGTTCACTCAATGTCTTTTCTTTTCATTCGATCAGGTACATTCATAACAAGGGGAACCAATAAGGTGACTCCTATTTAAAGACAAAGTGAGTGGGATTAATCACAAGGTACTGTGGGAAGTTTCCCTCTCTTACTTTAAAGGATGCGGAGTAAAGCAGCAGTGTTTGAATCAAGCGGCAACCTCCGGTGTTGAAAAATGAAACCTACGCAAAAGTGCAAAATCCTGCAGTTCATCGAGTGTCCATGGCTGCTGATGGGGCTCCAAAGCCCCCTGCAGAACCAGAGGGGTGACGTCACTCAGGCTTCGTCCATTAATATTTAGTTTTTGCAGAAAAACTCTTGTAGTTTTTTGGGTAGAGCTGCATGTGTGAACACAAACATATTTCTCACTCTGACTTTCTGCTGCGAGCCCCCTATAGTACTTTTCCTGCAGAAAGTCTGTGTGAGCTGATGTGAGAACACAGCAGGATAAAATCAGGAGAATTCACCTTGATCAAATGGGGGGGGGTGTTTATTACCTGCGATCGGTGCACGATCATAGTCCAAAAGAGACGTATATCGGACTAAGTACAACACTAACAAGGATCAAGAGGAGGAAACAACGTCAGTAAGAGCAAACAATAGCTTTAAGTCTGATCGGACACACAGGTGCTGACAGGAAGTGACCAGAGGAAAAGCACAACATCGACAGCTGTTCTAGTCAGCATCAAAACCATCCTAAATATCGTAATTTTCAAACAAAAATCATCATCTAAATCATTAAGTGTGTAGACGTTCATGACAGAGCTGGGTCTTTAGCTTGTTCCTTCAAGGTGTATGACCTGTAGGATCTCCTTGCATGTAATGAGACTTCTGCATTATTTTTCCTTTTCTCCCGTATGATCTTTTACACTCTTCTTTTGATGTTATTGTGACATCTGTGTTATAGTCCTCCTGAAATTCTCCAGAAATTTTCAGGAGTGCATAATGTGAAAACATCTACATTCTCGTTTTGAGCCAGGGAAAACTATGCAAACACGATGAAAAGAGACAAAGAAGATCAAAACGTAAGAAATAAATCCATTTTAATATTTACAGGTTACATATGGAAATCCATTTGTTTAAAAAAAAAAAAAAAGGAGATAAAACAATCCATAAAACAATATTTTCTTCAAGTAAAAAAAAAGAGATGAATACAGATTTGAAAGCTTGAATATTTACAACACAATGGACAGTGTGTTAGCCACCATTTGAATGGCTCGCAGAGGGTCCACAATATCTTTAAGCTTGTCCTTTCTGAGAACCCAATCCGGCGCAAACCTGGAAAACAAAAGGCAGGAAGTTGATTAATAAAGGAATCAAAGGATTATCAGGACATCTCAGACATGAACTAAATAAAACATGCATACACGTACTTTGGCGGAGGTTTGGATTTGCGAGGCGTCGCTGGAACATAAAAGCTCCCGTTGATTGACGCGTTCATCTTTTGTTTTAGCACCGTCCTTTCGGCGTCCATCTTGTGTTTGCGTGCGGTGAGGCGGTAAATACTGCGGATCTTGTCCAGGACCTTTGGAAGCTTCATAACCTCCTAAAAGAAAAAACAAAAAGCCATTACATTTAGAAATCTACATCAGGTGTCTTTCTGTTAAGTTTACTGTCACAAGAGTCTGTAAGTCATCGAGCGACGGACCACGGCGCGGCGTTTGTCTTGCAGGAGGAGAGCGAGGAGGAAGCAGGCTTTGGTGAAGATGCTGCCGCCCTTTTCTGCCACTTTATCGCCGGCCTTTTCCCGGTATCTCTGCAGCAGGTCCAGAAGAGTCTCCACTGAGTTCTCCACCGAGTACACGGCCTCGGTCTTGTGGTACTGAGGGTAAGACAAGGAGACGGGTGGAATCAGAAAACGCTTACGCAGACAAAGCGGATGAGAAATGATTGGAAACAAAAAAAAAAAGGTGGAAGTGTAGTGGAAAAAGTCTGATCTGTGGGAAGGAAGTGGATGAACTTCCGGTTTGAAAAAGGAAAAAAGTGCCTTAAATCTGCAGGAAGTTGGCGGTACCTTGGAGAGGTTGAGGAGGATCTGGATGGAGTAGGTGATGACGTCCATGCAGGGGACGCTCCTGTTGCAGCAGCGGATGAGCGTGAAGATGACGTTGGTGGCGCCGCTCTCGACCAGCTGCTCGCAGCACTCCGGGGACAGTCTGGTGGCCGTCTCTGTGCAACGTACACCATCAGAGACACAGTTTTAGCACTCAGGAGAAACGGTTTGCAAAGGCATGAGACAAAAAATGCTCACAGTAAGAAGCAGGTTTATGAGCCGTTTGCAACCCAGATGAATCTGCTTCAACTGTAACTTAGAATCATTCCGTCCAACATCATCTACAGTAGATTTGCTCTTCTGCTGATGCTTTTGTCGCTCATAATAAACTCATATTTCTTGAGTGATTAGCCAGAGCGGAGGCAGCCTTACCGAGGTTCTTCAGGGCCTCTAGGATGTAGGAGAAGTGTTTGTATCGAAGGAGGTAGTCGAGGGCGGACGACGTCTTGTTGCGAAGTTTGTCTTCCTCTCGGACCTCGGCGGAGACTTTGCGCAGGCGGTGCCTTAACGCCACCACCTTGGGGTTGTCGTTCAGGCGGCGGGAACGGTGTCCTCTCCAAAGAGCCTGCAGGATATCATCACGGCCAGTATTAATAGTTGAACTGATTATAGCATTAAAAACCAGTAGCAGTATATCCAGCCTCGCCTGCCGTACCTGAGCTTTGACAATGCCCTGCTGAACCCTCTTCTGCCTCCTGAGAAGGAGAAACCTGCGGACGGCCTGCTGGAGGACGGACGCGGCTTTGTGGCGACGAGCCAACCAGCGCTGGGCGGCTCTCTGGGCTGTGACCACCTTCCTCCGCTCCTCCAGATACCGTCTCCTCTGCTGCTTCGCTCTCACCCATCGCTAGGAAGGAAACAAGAAAATCATTATAGAGAAAAATATTGTGCTCCTCAATTATTCTTTTAATTAAATTCATCAGAGCAACATGGCATTGTGGGCTTTTTTTCCCGCCCTCTGTACCTGTATGGTGACGACACAATGGATTTGTCTTTTGGCCGACTCTAAAGCCCAGTGAGCTCTTAGAGCTCTCTGGATCTTTATGGCACTGAGATGGTGGAAGAGTGCGGATGTAAAACGAAGCCTCCTCTCTGCTCTGGCTTCCTCCAATGCCTGAAACACAATGACAGACATTGCATTTAAATATGAGCAGCATCTTTCCAGGCATTCTGCTGTTTTCTTTGATTTTTGTACAGATTCAGCTGTATCTGTCCACTACGAGTGCTGCATCATGGTAGACAATTTTCAGGGTTTCTTTGACATAATCGTCTTAAAAGGAAATAAGGAATGACTGATGGATCGATTTAAAGAGAAATAAACAATGCATAAGGTGTTCATTCAGAAGTGGTGGGAAAACGAGCGATCATGCAGAGATAAATCATCCAATCACATAAAAACATTCTATATCTTTATAAGGGCTATGTCACATGTTTATTTATAGTGTTAAATCTAAAAGAAAGCCAGGTAAAATAAAGCTCATTTGAAATGGAGCTCATTATTACCTGCTGTCTGGCGATCCAGGCTCTGCAGTGAGTCTGAAATGTGATGGCAGCTCGCCTCAATTGGACATAGTTGTTCCTCTCCAACCTGCCGAGCTGCAGCGCCCGGACCCTCCGCTGGAGAATCAACGCCGCCTCCCGCTTCCTCATGAAGTCGTGTTTCTGCACCAAACACCTCCAGCGTGACTGGATCACAACGGCGGCCTGCTTTTGTCGCTTAAAGTCCCTCCTAACACAGCAGCCTCTGAAATGTGCCTGAAGGATGATGGCAGACTGTTTTACTTTCAGGAAGTTCTCTCTGTCTCTTCTTTTTAGAATGCAGGCCCGATAGTATCTCTGGATGATGATTGCAGACAGGAGCATGGCCTTGTATTTAACTTCTTCTCTGTGTTTTCTGAACACAGACTGTATGACAGTTGCGGCCTGATGCCAGCGAGTAACCTCCCTCCTGACCTGCTGTCCTCTGAAAGCTGCCTGAAGGGTGACTGCTGCTTTGCGCATATTCAGGTATTGGCTTCTTTGAGCTTTCGCTGCTACAGTGGCCCGATACCTCTGCTGAATGGTGAGGACAGACATTTTCAGTTTCAAATACTGTCTCCGCTCAGTGCAGGCTCTGTATGCTCTTTGTATAACACCAGCAGCCTGTTGCTTCTGTTTGATGACTTGTCTTGATTTCATTCCATGGTATGCCGCCTGTAACACAACGACAGCTCTCCTCACCTCTTGATAATGTTTCATCTCAGTCTTTCTCTGTCTCTGAGCTCTAAACCTCTGCTGTAAGACACAGGCTGCCCAGCACTGTCTCCTGAAGGCTGACTGATGTTTATGCCTCCTGTAGTTTGCTTGAATGACAGTCGCTGCTCTGTGCATCTTTGCAACACCGCTTCTCACATGATGACTTCTGAAGGCCGCCTGAAGGACGATGGCAGAGTGTTTCATTTTGAGAAACTGGTTCCTTTCTTTTCTCTGCAGAATGCAGGCCCGATAGTATCTCTGGATGATGATTGCAGACAGGAGCATGGCCTTGTATTTAACTTCTTCTCTGTGTTTTCTGAACACAGACTGTATGACAGTTGCGGCCTGATGCCAGCGAGTAACCTCCCTCCTGACCTGCTGTCCTCTGAAAGCTGCCTGAAGGGTGACTGCTGCTTTGCGCATATTCAGGTATTGGCTTCTTTGAGCTTTCGCTGCTACAGTGGCCCGATACCTCTGCTGAATGGTGAGGACAGACATTTTCAGTTTCAAATACTGTCTCCGCTCAGTGCAGGCTCTGTATGCTCTTTGTATAACACCAGCAGCCTGTTGCTTCTGTTTGATGACTTGTCTTGATTTCATTCCATGGTATGCCGCCTGTAACACAACGACAGCTCTCCTCACCTCTTGATAATGTTTCATCTCAGTCTTTCTCTGTCTCTGAGCTCTAAACCTCTGCTGTAAGACACAGGCTGCCCAGAGCTGTCTCCTGAAGGCTGACTGATGTTTATGCCTCCTGTAGTTTGCTTGAATGATAGTCGCTGCTCTGTGCATCTTCGCAACACCGCTTCTCACATGATGACCTCTGAAGGCCGCCTGAAGGACGATGGCAGAGTGTTTCATTTTAAGGAATTGTTGTCTCTCGTTTCTCTGCCGAATGCAGGCCCGATAGTATCTCTGGATGATGATTGCAGACAGACGCATTGCCTGATATTTAACTTCTTCTTTGTGTTTTCTGAACACAGACTGTATGACAGTTGCGGCCTGATGCCAGCGAGTAACCTCCCTTCTGACCTGCTGTCCTCTGAAAGCTGCCTGAAGGACAACAGCAGATCTGCGCATGTTTTGATAATTTAGCGTTTGTTGCTTTGCTGCTACAGTGGCCCGGTATCTCCGCTGGATGGTGAGGACGGAGGACTTTAAGGTCAGATACTGCTTGTGTTCACAGTGGGCTCTGTAAGCTCTCTGAATTGCACCAGCAGCCTGTTGCTTCTGTTTGATGATTTGTCTTGATTTCATTCCGTGGTATGCCGCCTGTAACACAACGACAGCTCTCCTCACCTCTTGATAATGTTTCTTCTCAGTGTTTCTCTGTCTCTGAGCTCTAAACCTCTGCTGTAAGACACAGGCTGCCCAGAGCTGTCTCCTGAAGGCTGACTGATGTTTATGCCTCCTGTAGTTTGCTTGAATGATAGTCGCTGCTCTGTTCATCTTCGCAACACCGCTTCTCACATGATGACCTCTGAAGGCCGCCTGAAGGACGATGGCAGAGTATTTCATTTTAAGGAATTGTTGTCTCTCGTTTCTCTGCAGAATGCAGGCCCGATAGTATCTCTGGATGATGACGGCAGACAGGAGCACGGCCTTGTATTTAACTTCTTCTCTGTGTTTTCTGAACACAGACTGTATGACAGTTGCGGCCTGATGCCAGCGAGTAACCTCCCTCCTGACCTGCTGTCCTCTGAAAGCTGCCTGAAGGACCACAGCAGATCTGCGCATGTTTTGATAATTTAGCGTTTGTTCCTTTGCTGCTACAGAGGCCCGGTATCTCCGCTGGATGGTGAGGACGGAGGACTTTAAGGTCAGATACTGCTTGTGTTCACAGTGGGCTCTGTAAGCTCTCTGAATAACACCAGCAGCCTGATGTCTTTGTGTGATTATTTGTCTGGATTTCATCCCACGGAAGGCGGCCTGTAAGACGACGGCAGCGCTCCTCTTTGCACTCAGTACTTGCATCTCTGTTCTCATTTTCTTGTTGGCTCTGAAACGTGCTTGCAACACATTTGCAGCCCAGCTGAGCCTCCTGTAGTAGCTTCTCTGCTGGTACTTTCGGAAGTAAGACTGAATGATTAAAGCTGCGGCATGCTGGATACGCAACTGCTTCCTTATCCGCCACCCCCTGAACGCTGCCTGCAAACAAACGACCGCTCTACGCTTTGATATGTAGTCTAAACGGTCATTTGTTGCCAGGATCACTAACCTGTACCTGCGCTGACAGACCAGAGCTGCAGCCTTGAGAGCTAGGAATCTTTTTCTCTCTCTAACAGTGAAAAACTTTCTCTGGATGATTGTGGCTGCTCGGTGCAGCCGTGTGATCTTCCTCCTGGCCACGTGGCCTCGATACGCTGCCTGAATGACGACAGCTGCAGATTTCAAGCCTCTGAACGTCTGCATCTGTTGGTCCCTGAGCATTTTGGCCCTGTAGCGTTCCTGAATAATGATGGCAGCACACTTGGTGGCGAGATATGCCATGCGCATTTTGTGCATCCTGAACTGAGCTTGGATTGCTCGGGCAGCGGTGTGCCTCCTCTTCAGGTCTCGTCTTACTCTGAATCCCCGGTAGACAGATTGAATCTTTAAGGCCGCCTGCTTTATTTCGCTGTATTTGTTTTGCTGCGCCCTGCACATTAGAAGAGCTCTGTATCGGCTTTGGATGATTATCGCAGCACTCTGCTGGAGGAAATATTGTTTCCTACATAAAAACATCCTGACTGAAGACTGAATAACGGTCGCTGCCAGGTGTTGTTTCTTCAACTCCGCCCTGACTCTCATGCCTCTGAACATAGCTTGGAGAGTAACACAGGCCGCTCTCACGTGTAGGTATGCTTTCCTCGTCTCCTGTCCGGCCACATGAGCTCTGTAATGACGCTGTATGAGGACAGCAGCTGCCTTCTGGGACCTGTACTCTGTTTTCGCTTTGTGCCGACGGTAGTAAGCTTGTATCAGTGTTGCACAGCGATGCCACTTCTCGATCCTCTTCCTGTCAGCTCTGCCTCTCCATTTAGCTTGTAAAGTGAGAGCGGCATGCCTGAGAGCGTCGTAATCCTCCTTTGTCTTACGAGCCAAGACCGTGGCTCTGTACTTTTCCTGCATCACACACGCAGCTTTCCTCAAACGGAGGTAGCGCCTTTGGGCAGCATATTTCCTAAAAGCTGCCTGGATCGCCGTCGCTGCCTTGTGCTGTTGTCTCAGGGACTCCCGAGCCACTTTACCACGATAAGCCGCCTGTATGGTGATGGCGGCACGTCTCAACCTCACAAACAATCGCCTCTCCGCGTCTCTTTCCGCAGAGGCCCTGAACCAACGCTGGATTAAGACCGCAGCACATCTCATCCTCACCACCTGCTTCCTGACAGCGTGGCCTCTGAAGGCACTCTGAATGACGGCAGCAGAGCGGTGTTGCAGCTTCAACTTCTGAAAGCAGCGTCTCTGCGCGTGGCCTCTGTACCGGGCTTGGATGAGCACCGCACTTCTCCTGATCTCCCTATACTGACGGAGACATGTCTGCATCCTATACCAGGACTGAATGCGAACAGCGGCAGCGTTTTTTTCAGCCATTTTCCCCTCGTACCATTTCTTGAACACAGCTTGTATCACTTGGGCAGCACGATCTTCCTTTGAGGTTTTCTCAGCTTTCCACCTCCTGTACCCTCTCTGTATTTTCACGGCTGCAGCTCGAAGAGAGAGGTAGTGTTCGCGATCTTTTCTTCCCAAGGCCAGAGCTCGGGAGTGCGTCTGAAGGACAGTGGTCGCCCAGTGGACCTTTCTGTATGCTGAGGCCGCCCTGCTCATCCGCCATTGTGCTTGGACAACAATGGTGTAGTATCTGAGGCGCTGGTAAGCCCTCATGGTCGAAAACATCCTCCACTGAGTCTGCAGGAAAAGATAACAAACATTTATAGTGTGATTAAATAACACAAGAAGGCTTCAATATTACAAAAAATATTTCAAATCAGGAACACTACTTTACGACTGTGCACGCTGCCTGAGGCCTTGATCACACCTGGTTTTGAAAAGTGTCCTGCATGATCTAATCACACTTTAAGTGTAAACGTAAACAAAGCCTACACAGTAAGAGAAGTATATATGTGCATTGTATGTTCTTTAATATTGCATAAACAATATGAAGTGCAGTCAATAAACAAAGAGTGCATATCAGCTATAGATCACTGATTCCTTTTCTGTCTGCTGCTCTTCGTTTTTTAACACACCTTTAGTTGTAAATCCTCCTAAACACATTTTATTTTACCACTACATTCTCACCATTTAATATGAGGGCAGCTGATAGCTAGCATGAGCTTCATCTGACTACATCCAATAAGCTAAACATACGCCTGCTGATTGAGAAAGCATTGCATGTTTACATTTCTTTTTATTTGATCTTAATAATGCAATAAAATCAGACTTTTCTTGTTTTCTCGCCTCAAGAGCCAGAGGAAACAGCAAAAAAATATGTCCGGTGTGATGGGACATTTTCCTCTCAACGGTCTTGTTTAGACACCTACCTGGATGACAGTCGCTGCGTTGTGCTGCAGAGTCCGAAGTTGAGCCTCTTTTTGGAGCCTCATCCTGTGTCGGGCAGCGTAGCCTCTCCAGAGCGACTGGATGAGAACGGCTGCTTCGTTCTGCCTCTGAGCTCGGCGCCTCTGCAGAAAACTCCTCACAAGTAACTGGATTTTCCCAGCAGCCATGTTTCTTTCCTGTGACCAAACAAAAACCAGGAACAAGATCAACTTAACAGTGTTCACCAACTTAAGATCATGCACTCCTTTCTCTGTCTATTATCATTCAACTGGCAACTGCAATTGCTCCCAAGAAAATGTGAGCCACATTATCAACACAGACTCAGGTTTGTAGTGCACAACTTGAGCTTCCACACAGACAGAGGACCAAAAGGACCAAAGTGTCTACATCAGATAAACTAACTTTCATCACACTCTGGAGTTTTATCAAACGTTGAACTAACCTTGTACAGCTGCAGATCTTTCTTCAGTCTGTATTTCCTCCAGGCGCCCTGAATGACCCGAGCTGCTCTGGTTTCGTTCCTCAGGTCGAGAAGACGAGCGCACAGGAAGGACAGGTACGACATGACCACCTGGAGATGAAGGAAAGTGAAGTTTAGAAAAGAGCTCTGTGAATAAAGACATGTTGCTCTGTCTGTTTTTACAAAAGCTTCAATAGATTTAGAAGATTTTTAAACAGGTTCTAAGATTGATTTCAGGCTACACTGTTTATTGCATGACTGCAGACAAATCTTTTAGATGAGACCCTGATGACTTTGTGCTTTAAAAAGATTATTTAGTTTTGGACATAGAGCTACAAATCACTTCCTTGATTTGTAGTTGATACTGTTCCATTCAAACATCAGTTATTGAATCTTCAGTCCACAATAATGAAAAATAACGAGGCAGCGAGTCCGTCTTTGACTCTTCTTCTGCTGACAAAATAACGTCTGCAGGGGGAGGGGAGGGGTAAAGACCACCTCCAGGTCTGCTCTCACCTTCTCGTTGGGGATGGTGTTGGACATGTCGGCCGGGTTGATCATGGCGGGGACTCCGCCCAGGAAAGACACGGCCGTGTTGACCAGCCTGAAGTTGTTTTTCTCATTTTCCAGCAGCTCTTTGAATTCAACCGACGGAGAGCCGATGCCTGTGCACAAGTAAAAAAAACCAAAATGCACAGATCCAGTCATAACAAGTCAGGAACTGTCGCTACATTGTCTTTTTAGGCTCTAGGGCAGGGGGGGTCGTAAGCCACAAATAATAAATAAAACTAACACACATTTTAAATCATTTAAATTGGTATATTTGAGCCATTACTGTAAACATATTTACAGAAAGAACTTGTTCAATTTGAAGTAAAACCTTATCATGAAGTGAATTTAAAGTACCGTTGTGGCCTTCTGGCGGGTAGTCGAAGGAGTTGTCCGAGTCGCTGGCGGAGCAGTCGAGCTCCAGTCGCCCCCTCCGTGAGCACTCCACCGTCTGGGTGGTGCTGTGACTGACAGCCTGCGCGGGCAGGACGCCGGGGTGGTAGTGGTGGATGAGGTAGCAGAGGACGCGGCCGTCCGAGAACGTCACTGTGAAGTTCTCCACCTGCACACGCAGACAGACCTCAGTGACTTTCCTTTTAAAGGGGGAAATCATGAGACTGTGAACTCACTTTCACAGGAGGGGGAGGGCTACATGTTTAGGTAGAAGTTGTGTGTTGATGTCCAGCCGTGTGAACAGCGGAGATAAACAGCTGTTCTAATAGAGAAAGAGACGTAATAAACCCGACTTTCTGAAGGCTAATATTTAGTTTGAGGAATATTTCTGGTCCCTTAAAAGGCTCACTGACATTCAGAGCAAAACAGTGCTCCCTTCAGACACACCTCCTCCATCCTTCAGCTCCCCCCCCTCCCTTCCTGTTTCACTTTCAGGTTTCTGCAAACGAGCGCTAATAAACATCTGAAAATGCATCCTAAAGATGATCTGTTTTCGGCCTTAGGAAGTCTGCACTTTGGTTTGGAAAGTCTGTTGACTCTAGCCGTCACTCTGTCACTGTGCAGCTAGCATCAGGGTCCCCGAGTGGGCGGGGCCGTCTCTCTTTTAAGAAAGTTGTTATTCCACAATATATTTACATGTTATACCTTTAAAGAAACTGAAACACATGGTCAACTTTGGTGCAAACATTTTCCATAAAGCACGTCCTTGCCGTTTGTTTAGTAACCAGAAGAAAGCGCAGCAGTCTGAAAAGGTAGAGACAAACTTGAAGCTTTGAAGATGCTCCTCAACAAGGTGTTTTCAGGTGAGACAAAGAGCAAAGAGACAAGAGCCTCAAAGGCTGCTACGAACCAACAGCTTAATTGCTCAATAAAACACGACATTACAAAGTTCAGAACAAAGTCTCCCTGCGTCCTGCCTGACAAGAAGAAGAAGTCAAGTCAAAGCTAAAACAAACTCCAGAAATCAAAGGAAGAAAAGTTTCAAACTCACCTTCAGGCTGTAGAAGTCACACACCGCTCGGACCCACTCCATGAGCAGAGTGATCTTAGTGCTGCTGTGCTCGTACGCCGACCGAGTCCCTGCAGGACTCGACTGAAGACCCCGGTCCGCTTTAAGGGACGCCAGCCTCAGTTTGGTCCGAAAGCTTCTGTTCAGGAAGCAGATTTCCTCCCTCAGCTGATCCTCGTTCAAAATGACCTCCACCTGAGCACATGGTTAGATGACAGCATGTCAGTCAGCTCTGGCCACATGCTAAACAAAGACTAAAACTGAAAACAAAGTCAGACACATACGTGAAATGCAAAGATGATTTTCCACAGTAGGCTCAGAGTTTTCTCTCTGTGTCCATCCACGATGTCTCTGGCATCAATGGCCGCCCCTGAAAATAAAGACAATGGATATCATCAACACTAAAAAGAAGAAGAAATCACAGACTGACGGACGATTAAAGTAACTGTTCATTTAAAGCCATTACTGAGGCCTCTTCATGTCCACAAAAGCAAATCTTAAATATTCAATCATGTCTTTTTTTTAGGGATTAAGTTGATAAATCAAAGTTATTGTTTTTACCCTGCGTACTCGTTCTAACACATTCTGATGTATGCAGAAGCGATCATTTTGTCACATAAAGTTTAACGCAGCAAATGCAGCATCATAAGGTGCAAAGTGATCCGATTATGTTGCTGTTCAGCGACATAACAAACAACAATCAAACCCAAAAAGGTGAGCGGGGACACTGACGTTGTTGTTCTCACTCAAGTGAAGGATTTAAGAAATGAATTGAAAAAAGCGACAGAGTGGAGGAAACTCTTTTGTGTGTAAAAACACTAAATAAGTAACACTTCAGTGAAAGAGAGTGTTGCACAGAAACTAAAAAAAAAGATGCAAAAATCCGTCAAGCTGAAACTCTTAATTACCGTGTTCATCCTTCAGGTCCACCCCTTTGCTCTTGAGCTGCTGCAAAGCCAAATCGACGTTGTGGACTTTCTGCAGGCGGCTGATGGCCGGCATGCGGAGTTTGGCTGACAAACTCCAGTCCTGCACGAGGAGCTCCATCACACGTCTGGAAGCAGGAAAACAAATGTCTCATAAATCACTGGCGAGAATCCCTTTTTTGTCGTACTTTTGAGAGGAAGCGAAGAGAAAAAAAACAAAGCTGTGAGCTGAGAGAGAGAAATTAGACGTGTTTCCGAGAAGGTCACCTCTTAAGAACTTAAACAGATGCATGCAGATGTTTCAACCTGTGTTTCTGTGCATTTAAGGAAGTATACAAGCAAAATAAACAACATGATCAAGGGGCAACACATTTTTATCAATAAGAAAGTGAATCCCAAAATGAGGAAATCCTCTCTAGCACACTGCTCTGCTTGAGTCTCCTAAACTTTAAAGGGGACATAATATGAAAAATCCACTTTTCAGTGTTTTTGAACATATATTTGGGTAACCTGAGTGTCTACCAACCCACAAAATGTGAAATAAACCCTTCCAGTCTTTTGTTTGTGGTCTGCATAAGTCTTACAACACAAAGAAAAATGCTCCGTTTCAAATTTGCTCCCCTTGTGACATCACAGTGGGATTCTGGTAAAATAAATCCCCTCCCCTGGTATCTCCACCCATGTACTCCACCCCCAGCCTAGAGCAAAACTTTAGAGCAGGTCTGCCATTTTTATTCTCGCTACAGAGGAGTGACGTTTACTGTGAAAACTCAGGGGGGGCTCATTGCATTTAAAGAGACACACACACCAAAACGGAGCGTTCTGAGAGAGCTGGTTTATACAGGGTCACAAACCTCCTCTGGTGCTTGATTCATGTTATATTTTGACCAAAGCACAGCACAGATGTTTGATTTAGACCACAGGAGACTGTTTGAAAAGGCAGAAAAGGGGGATAATATGTCCTCTTTAAATCCTTCTCTGCTGTGAGGAGAGAGACATGAAGCCGAGTCTGACATGAAGCCGAGTCTGACCTTCGGCGAAAAAAGCAAATATCACATCGAGGATCAAAGCACCACGTTTAAAGTCTCGAGGTCTCAACTCACACTAGACGAATCCCGCATTTCAAGTCGACCGCTAAATTCTTCACCGCGAAGTTGAACTCGTCCAGGGGCGTCTGAACGTGGGAGACGGGCAGCCCGAGGTAGCCGAGGTGCCGCGGGAGGATCCCCTCCCCGCTCAGGAAGTCTCTGGAGAAGGCCAGGAGGAGGTCTTTACTGGTCTGTGAGAAAACACAATGGACACAAGATGGAAGGAGTGAACACCAGCAGAGAAGAACTCACGAGAGGAAACATCATTTATTTGAAAGATCAGTGTTAATTCAGAAATGTTCCTCTTAACTTTAAAATCTGTACTCAAAACACGAGCCTCATTTTGCTCTTAACCCCGGTCAAATCTACATCTGAGTTAAGGCAGTAAATGAGGTCAATCCTCATAGAACCAGATGAGAAAAAAACGTGTTGAAAAAATACTTCAGTGCTTTTTACCAAATGTGTCATTTGATGCATCTGTTCCCTTTTAGAATGAAGTTCACTGAGGGTAGCATGGCAACTAAACCTCCATACATGTTGTTTTTTTTAAGTGAATAAATAAATCTAAAAACTGTTGCTGACACGGGGAAACCTGAGCGTACCTTGAACTCTGCGTCCTGACAGAACAGACAGGGGTTGTGTTCGATCAGACGAGACTCTTTGGCTTTGTCCAGAAAACACACGAGCAGGAGCAGCTTCTTCAGCGTGAAGCGAGACAGCGCCTCCTCGTGGCCTGAACGGAGAAGGGACACACATGATGGTGACAAACATGTTTCAATACGGGGACTATTAGGAAATGACTGAATAATGGTTTTAAAGCCACACCTTTCCTTTCATCATTACAGAGCGATTTAACACGTACTATCATTCTGATCACAGTGAAATGACACGTCTACTACATTTCTCACATGATCATGAAATTACCGTCTTTGTAAAGGTGAGGCACTTTGGCGTGTCTGAACTCAGCGGCGAGGTCCGGGTTCCACAGCAGCCGCTGCAGGATGAACAGCGCCAGACCCAGGGCGTCGCTGTTGCTCTCCAGAGAGATCAACTCCCCGAAGATTGTCTGAGAACGAGCAACATTGTGTTAAGCAACATCCTGTACAACAAAGTGAAAGAGCAGAAGAGAAGAGCGCTGCGTCAGAATACCTCAAGACCGATCCGTAACCACAGCGGGTTGTACGAGAGGAGCCAGTTCAGGACTTTCCCTCGCTCGCCTGGAAGATGAAAATAAACACGGTTTGTTTGAAACTCCAGTGCACTTAAAAATAAATCCAGCAGGTTTAACATTAAGATCTTTGTTTACCTATGTCCTTCCAAAGATGGCGGTCTTTGCGGACGAGCAGCCTCCTGGCCTCCACCTCCACCTCGAGCCTCTGGATCGCTTTGACCATGGCCTCTGAGGTGAACAGCTGGCAGGCAGAGCGTCGGAGGCGGTTCAGCTTGCGTCGGGCCGTGTAGGTGCTGTAAGACATCTCCTCTTTGGTGGGGGCTTTAGGGACGCTGAACTTGTGGTCGCTGCCCATGGCGATGGACACGGCGTTCACTGCACGAGACATACAATGAAAAAAAAAGAAAAAAAAAAGTGATGTCATGGCTCCTTTTTTTAGGCTTAGATACTCAGCTTCAGTTTTGAAATGTGCACACTGAACAAAGTATCTGGATGCAAATATAAAGGTGGTTACATTTGACTTCAGTGTTGACTTTAAAGTCATCGGGGGTCAGGACGTAGTTGATCCACCAGGTGAAGCCCCGCTCCTGCTTCTCGATCCACCGCTCATCATAAAACATGTTCTTGGCGGCAAACGGCATCGGGTGTCTCGGTATGGCTGGAGGTAAAATTAAAACATGTAAAACAACTTTTTTTTTTTACTTGTTACAAAATGTGGATTCTGGATTGTTCTGGCGTCACGTACCTGTTTGCACCGACTTTATAAAGGTGAGCTTTGACTGAGCCACAGCAACAACCTTTGCCGTCTTCACAGACCGAGCACCAGAAGACTTCAGAGATGTAGCACCTGTTTGAGCCACAGACATCAAAGCACTTTTGAATTTTGACAGCGATTACGTCGGAGAAAATCTGAAATCTAACTCATTTAGAGGCCCTTTTCACACATGCACTGAATGCAATCCTGAAAAGAACGCCGAGGACAGACCCTGAATTTATTTGGACTTTTTTTTTTTTTTCAGCCAGCCTCGGTGAGCTGGTGTGTGAACGCAGCAGGTGATAGTCTGGAACATTCACCTCGAGCGGGTGGGCAGGGTGATGACGTAACTTGTGTTGTTCTGAGTGTCTCTGCTTTATAGCCTCAGATGTTTACAGTCACAGGGGTCATTACAAAAGACCCCTCCTTCCTCCTCTTACTTCAGCATGCACTGCCCAGCTGCCCCCCCCCCTTCATCCCATCCAAAACAGTGTGCGAGTGCATACAACACGGAAAGGAAAGTTCCTGAAAACATCAGAACCTCAACGCTGTGATCTTATCCTGAGAGTGTCAGGAGTTCATGTGTGAAAAGGGCTTACCGGACTTACTCAGCTAAAATAAAATCAACTCTTAATCAGTTAGATACCTCTGGAGGTGAGTTTGGAGCTCGATTGTTTTGCCTGGGCAGGAGCTGCAGACCTCACAGTCTTTAGAGAGGATGACGTCATGGAGCGCACGGAGCCTGGGGGGGTAGAGGGGGGACACTTAAGAGTAAATACAGAGGGTCACAGGACAGGGCAGATACACTTTGCACAGAATCTTAAAGACATACATCATTTGACTCCCATGTGTGAAGACACAAATGATTTTAACAGCAACCTACTGAGACTCAATCTTTTTTTTTTTTAACTACTTTCACTTTGAAGAATTGCCGCCATTTCCAGGTATGTAGGTGCAGAAGAGAGGGCTGCAGCATCCATTCATTCATGAACACTTTAAAACAACTTCTTAAAAATCATTTCAACTAGATTCACCCTTCTGATGGGTGATGTAGTACGATGATATGACTGGAGTCTTTTGTAGAATGACTTCAGTGTTTCCTCTACCATTATATTAGGGGACGGCCCGCCCCCAACACCCCCGCCCCCCTTGAAAGGTCAAGTAAAAAAAAAAAAAAAAAAAAATATATATTTTTGGGCCTTTATTGTAGAGATAGGATAATGGATAGAGTCAGAAATCAGGGAAAGAAGTCAATTAAGGATATCTTTCCGATAGAAAAAGGACAGCTGTCATTAAAAGTAACACATGAACACCAAGATTCCTTCAAGTGTGTCGGCGTGACGTGCCCCCCCCCCCCAACGCTGTAAACCTAGGGGAAACACTGGACTTAAATCTCGAGGAGCTGGAGTCCTTAAATGTTTTTAAATCTAAAATGAAAGACATGGAAGCAGATTCTACACGATGTCAATGTTTCAAGCTTGAATGTTTGAACAACTGACTCTCAGATTTGACTCACAGATCTTCTCTATTTGAATCCAAAATTGAGTGAATGAACTTTGTCTCCCTTTGTGTCTCCGTCTGTAACTTTGTGTTTTAGCTGCGGCCTGTCTCCCTTGAAAAAGAGGTTTTTAATCTCAATGGGACCAAACTAGTTAAATAAAGGTTGAATAAAATATATGTGTGAAAGTGTTTTGTCCATTTACTTGAGAAGTCTGAAACTTGTCTATAATTCTCCCTGCAGAGTGAGCAGCTTGGAGTTCACCACTGTTGCGCACACACGATGAGGTGTTCCTGAGTGTGGAACGATCCTGCCGGTGTGTCTTGAGATTTAAATAAAGTAGTAACAGTGGTGTGCATCGAGGCTTCAATGCACACCACGCCCCTCTTTGGGGAGAGGCACCGATCGACTCTGCTGCGGTGGGATTCCACTCACCTGCTGCACTCTGCTGCTGTCTCAGCGACGCTTGCCTCCTCTCCTGGAGCGATCTTATCGACTCCGTTTTTGCCGCCACCACCCTGCTCCTCTTAACCCGCTCCGTCTTCCCGGCCTCCTGCGGCCTCGCATCACTTTTCAAAAACTCCTCGCTCTTCCTCTTCATGCTCTGCGACGCCATCTGAACGGGAAACTGGTCTTCCTGAACGCACGGAGGCGGCAAAACCGTTGGGACAGCTGACGCGGGCTGCGGTGTGATGTGGTGTTCTGATGGAGAGGAGATGATGAGCCCAAGGGCGATGGAGCTGTGAAGGTTAAAGCGATGGAAGCGGGGACTGCAGGAGGCGGTGGAGTGGAAGGGAAGGAGAAGCGAGCAGGAGACAAAGATGCGATGGAGGTGACGGGGAAGGTGACAGGTGTGGGAGAGCCGTCGGGCCGAGGAGTCAGGCTGGGGAAGGTTTGATTCCTGTAATCACATAGAGAGTCGGCAGCTTCAGATTTTGGCCTTCCGTTGGCTTCTGGATCTATAACAGGAAGACTCGGAGTTCCTGATCCAGACTCGGATTGGCTGCTGCTGCTGCTGCTGCCTGACAGCTCCAGAGTTCTCTCCAACAGCCTCCGCCTTGACTTCTTTATTTTCCTTCCACTCGAGCAGTTTGTCTCCTCTGGAGCTTTGCTTTTAATCACCGTGGCGGAGGTAAAAGAAGCCTTTTTGACCCTTTCTGTTGCCGTATCCGCCGCCGACACATCAACCCCTTTGCTGACAAAGAAGGTAAGTCTGGGCTCATTGGACTCGTGCACAGGTGGGCTGTCAGGCAACGCTTTGAGCCCGGGTGCGCAGCCGTGATTCACACTTTTTGATTCCAGTGAATCTGAAAACCCACAGCTGGAGCTGGCGTCCCGAGGACTGGCGCTCACATGGCTCAGATCGGAGTCGATAAGAGCGAGAGCATCCTTCAAAGTCAGAGCCGGGGTCCCGGTTAACCCACTGTCGGCTTCTTCAGAATCCGCCGCGGACTTCAGAGGAGCTGGGCTGTCTGACTGAATATGAGGCATGAGCTTCTTGAACCTCTCCGGGGTCCCGATAGGGGACAGCGTCCTGTTCAGCATTCTCAGCAGACCTTTGTTTTCTGGATTGCTCGTCGGGGTGTCAGACGAGTCCGCCAGCTTGGCGGCTGGGACGAGCAGGACGAGAGGAGAGTGAGGGTGGACGTTCTCCTGGTCCGTCAAAGCCAGAGACCGCTGCCTCTGGTTGGATTTAGAGGTGTCCTGCTCCTCTGCTTTCTGAGGGTAGTCCATCATGGGACTGTACTTGGAGAGGGATCGCTCTCGAACAGCTTTGCCCTCGTTGAGAGAGGCGAGGGGGCTGCGGGGCTTCTCCCGTTTGTACTGTGGTTTTCGGGACACCTGGAAGGTCTTATTGGCCGACATCTTGAGCGGTTGTTCCGGCTTCTTCCTCCTGGGTGCGGCTACTTTCTCGCCCTCTCTTTTGTTTTTGATCGTGTCCCATAAGCTTTTCTGAAACACGAGAGGAAAATAAAAAGCATGAATGTCATATTTAGAATTAAAGTATTAAAAAGTCCTATTAGCACATTCCCTACCATATTTCTAAAAAAACAAATAGGTCATGTTGTAACACTATACACGTATCTACTGCTCTGTGATTGTGTCTTTATATTTTACGGATGCTTGTCTCTCATCAACCCTGATGGGTGCAATCTAAGGATTATTCCCCTTTAGCGCCAGATTATTAGATGCATTACGTGCAAGACATCATGCAAAGACAGAACATTTATCTATCTGTCAACGGACCAAACTGTTATTCCTTTGTAGGCAATTAAAACAATGTTTTAATAAAAATTAGAAAGTAAATGTTTTGCAGAGCGTGGCATTATATCCAGGAGATAATGCCAGGAGGTTTTAGCAATTATTTGACATGAAACACTAGGGATGTAAAGATGAATCGTAAATCGATTCAAAAGGTGTGGTGAGCGTCAGAAGCTGTAGATTTTGAAATTTTGGACACACCACCGTCATTTAAATCGGAGGTGTGGAAGCCTTTTGGCAGAAAATGAAAGAGGTGAGAGGATACCAGACGAGACAAAAACTGTGTGCAAATATTATGCGAGAAGACAATGAACTAAACAAATAGCACAGCCAACAAGAACGCAGCATTTAATCGACCACACTGACAAGTCTGTTGTTCGCAGCCCCAACTAGTTGAAAAATATCAGAAAGTTGGTGGTCGGTCCTGAGGCTGTGTTATGACATCTTTTTACATTTTAGATGCATTTGCATTGTTTTTAGATGCATAAAAAAAACTAGCAGCCACAAGTTCACACAATTGGGGGGATTAAAACAGATAATCCTTGCATGTCTACTAGAATATAAGGAGAATGCATAACATTGGAGGATATTTGAGTGTCAATGAGCAGCTCAGGATTCTTACTTTTTTCTTTTTGGGAGCTTCTGCTCTCCCCAGCAGAACAGCCTGATGCTTGAGGACTCCATTGGCATTGAACACCAGCAGCTCTCTGATTCCTCCTTCCTCTGCTGGGGTCCAGGTTACTGTCAGACCAAACGAGCCCCCAGGCTGCAGACACAAAACACACACAAACAAATATTTAAATGCACCATCAAAAAAACCAGCTCATGCTAAAACACGAGCTCTAGATATTATTCTATCGTTGCAAAAGCTCCTGAACATGATCACAGCTCTGAGGGGACAAAGCATTATGAAATGAATGGATGTAGAAGAAAGTTTGGCATGAAATGAATGGATGTAGAGGAGAGTTTTGAGGTAGCATAGTTAGCTCGGAACAAACCTGAATCGTGAAGCTGTTGTAGTCCACAGAAAACCCTTTACTGGAGGAGATCTTCTCAACAATGACCTCCGCTTCTGCATCCTCTGTGGGGTTTTCAATCCGCAACACAGCCGACTTGGAGGTCCCCAACTTCACGGTCCCAAAAGTCACAAAAGGAGCCTTTGAAAACTGAATCAAACTCAAAACAGGAACATCGTTCTCCTTATTCGCGACGTCTCTCCTCACCGGACTGAAATCCAGAAGTCCCCCTCGAGTCGGAGGTAAAGTTTCTGACATTTTAAGTAAAGTAAAATAGCCTGCTGCTCTTGCTACATGTTACGCAGGTAGTTTGTTTAAGCTGCTGCTAATGTTGACGGCTCCGCACTAGTAAACGTTAAAACACGCTTCCCTCAACAACACACACTGCTCGGGGTTTGAATTCGTTCGCTTTCTGCTTTCAGCCAATCATAGGCCAGCAACGGCTACGTCTTATCCAATGAGTGAAGAGAACAGGCAGAATCCGTATGAATACATCGCCTACGACCAATCAGCAAGCGACTGCATGTTTAAACGCCCTTTAACCACGCCTGCTTTCAAATGGAAACCAAAAAAAACAAGATGGCTCACTCGGAACTTTATTTGTATTTTATGTTTTAAAACAAAATTAACAATTTATTCTTGAACGCTTGTTGAAGAAATACAAATTAAACCAAACTCCTTCTTAAGAACAAGTAACCCAGGCGCGTTTTCCATCTGCTTCTATACATCATGTCGGTCCTATATTTTATATTTAAGTGATGACTCTTCTTCATAAAGGATCTTTGCATTGAAAGAAACTGTATGGCCAAAGTATTGCTTTTTAGTTTGACTTTTTGTTGTTGTATTTTTCAAGTTTTAGAAAGCTTTCTGTTTTTTAATCAGCAGTCTGTCGTTGTGCTGAATGTTATCCACATTAGACCAGTGGACTTTGAGTGCAGAACAGCTTTTTCAGTCGTCCGAAGCACAGCTCGCCGTGATCGTATAGTGGTTAGTACTCTGCGTTGTGGCCGCAGCAACCCCGGTTCGAATCCGGGTCACGGCAGTATTTTGAGGAGTCTTGATACTCTTCACAGTCGTGGATGAACTGTTGACGATTAGCCAGTTGCAGACATGTAAAAAGATATTGCATTTGCATTGCACTCTGCAAAATGTTCAGTGGTGGATTTTAAAAGGTCTTCAACTCAACCATTGAAATTGATGGTTTCAGTGGTTGAAAATGATAGATATCTTATATATCCTACTTTCCACTTGACTTGGTCTTCTCCCTACTGTATATGCCCAATCCACCGTATTTCAGATGAATATACGTTTACATACTTTTTACTCTATTATATCCATCAAACAAGTAGCCTGACATGCTTTGCAACTTCAGATCAATAAAACAATAAAGAATTTTTCATTAAATTCATTTAGGTGTAGATTCGACTTGATTGATCCCTGGGGGGGAAGGTTTATTCTGCTCAGTTCATACTTTTAATCTTGGAGGATGATAGGCTACTTTCATGCATTTATTTGTGCTAAAGTTTGGATTTGTACTATGACAAATAAACTGTGGATACTTGTTTGTAGAGTAGTTCTAAATTCATTTAAAAATTTGATGGAATAATATTAAAATAATAGGGGTAGAGATATAAGCTAGACATTTCACTTCTGCTTACTCCATTTGGACACTTTGTTTGTTTTTTATCATCTTATTTTAATTTTTAGTTGGAAATAAAGCCTTTCATTCATCATTCACCTGTAATGGGACATTTTTACACACTTTTATTAAGTTTACACTTCAAGATGTAAGTTTGATTTATCCACCAATGAAATTCCCCATTTACAAGTAATAATTCAGACTAGCTATTTAATCAAATTAATCTTTAAAGTTGTTTCTGTTGTGAGCTAAATTAACTACCATTACGTGCAATATTCCCTTTGAAAACAAGTCTGTATGCAGTGTGATATCAAAATACACTCACCCACAGTACAAAATGGAAGTTTTTTTTACCTCTGCTTACAGACTTTAGATGTTGTCTTCTTGTTGATGGCTTGATGCTGATCTTAAAATACAGAATTGATTAAGTAGATCATTTAATAATAATAAGATTTAAAAAAAAAAAAAACATACAAGAAGTGGCTGGAGATCTTTTAATAGAAGGTTCCCACAATGACCAGCAGGAGGCAGCCATGCTCAAGGTTTAAGCATTATGTGCTGTGAGCTCATGACAGAGATATTTTCAATGTTTAATAGCCTCTCTGGCTTTTTGTTGTATTCAAGCTAAAAGTACAAATATAATTAATTTGGGTTATTCTGAGATGACTTTATAGTGAGGGTCAGTGACACCGTTGGATTTATTTCAAGGACTTCATTTCCCGTACATGTAAAAAGTTATTTCTAATAATTTGATGACTTTATTGAAAGAAGCAGAACGAGGGACTGGCCACATGGCTTTTCACTTAAACCCACTTTATTAAAACCAACTACTTCTTTTAACTTAATACAGATGCTTGACCTTCTCTGTGCAGAATGATGTGTTCAGAGTTGACCACGTAAAGCCTTTTTTAACATTATGTTGGAGGGTAAATCATGTTTCTGCAGTCCCCATAAAATCTGACTTAAGGACAGCAATGTTTTCACAACCAGTTCTGAATCACATCTTGAGTCAATATACAAGCGCTGCAAATCTGATGATGGAATTTGACATCTTTTTACAGCTGAGCCTCCGTATGATTTTTGGCTTAAACTTTTGAATGAACATCTACTTGCAAAACTTGAATGTGTATGTTAAATCACTACGCTCTGCCAATGAAAGGCGTCTGATCCAACCTTCACACAACAGGGCCTCTAAGGGCGCACTCACACAGGTAAAGTTGTCCCATATCGTGCTTAAGCTTCCCTCCTCATTCCCCTGCAGGCCTGCACTCACACTGCTCCAGGACTTACCGGGCCTGAGCACGGTTCCCTTTGTAGGCCTACATATTTGAAGCGTGCTTAGTTTCCAAGCTTGCCAGGGCTAAGGAAGTGTACCCTGCTTGAGCACACGTGGCATATGGGAGCACTCAGGACGCGGTCACACTGGCCATCCGTACCATGCTGTACTCAAGCTCGATTGGCCCCCTGCTGCGCCATTCCCAGTCACACTGGCCAAGATTAACCGTGCCTAAGCATGATTACCTCTTGTACATAATGTCGTAATACAGCACATGCATGCTTTATGTTATTATGAAGCGTGCTCAGTTGAGAAACAGGTGTCTGCACATCAGAGAACATGACAGCTACTTTACTGACTTTGTGGCTTATTTTAAGTCATTTTAATTAGATACAGCCATAAATTTAAAAAATAATAAAATAGACACATGGCCGAGTCCGCAGGCGAGTCGCACATCGCAGAACAACACAAAGAACATGACAGCAACTTTGTGGCTTATAGAGTAATTTTAGTCAGATACAGCCATGAAACTCTGGATTTCTCCTTAATGAAGGCTGTCAGCGTTGTGTGAGCTTGTGCTCGTGCATGAAGTGTGCCAAAGCCAAGGAAGTGTGCCAAAGCCAAGGAAGTGTCACACTGGCCAAACGAACTGGACTCTAGGGTTGAAGCGTGATTGGGCACGGTACGGATGGCCAGTGTGGCCGGGCCCAACTAGACTCTTCTCCTCTGTCGCCCCCTGGTGGTGAAATGAACAAACTCCATTGGGTCTGCAGAGTCCCTTTGCACCTTTAAGACAAAGCTAAAGACCCAGCTCTTTATGAACACCTATACGACCTTAATGATAATTATGATGATGATGATGACGATGATAGTTTTGTTTGTTAATGGTGATATTTAGGATGGTTTTGATGCTTAATAGAACTCTCAGATACAGCTGTCGATGCTGTGCTTTGCCTCTGGTCACTTCCTGTCAGCACCTGTGCTGTATGTTTGCACTTCCTGACATTGTTTCCTCTCAATAATTGCTTTCGTTTTACTTAGACCTACTCTTTGATGTACCTCACTTTGGATAAAAGCATCTGCTATGTCAATTGTAGAATTGTACAAATGTAAATCCTGGGTTTTTCAAAGGGGGGGAAGAGGAGGGATTCAAGATTTATTTTTTTAATTTAAAGTATTTTACAATGTGATTAAACTGTTTTAATTTGTAAATACTTTATCAGACTCTTGTTCTCCATGCAGCATATTCAACTTGTCCTGAGACATGTCTTTAGAGGATCTTTGAAGCAGAAGTCTTGATTGATTAATTGTGTTAGTGTACTCTTTGTTGACATTAACATATCTACAGAACTGTCTTTTGCAATCCCCATCCTCCCAGTATTCATCCCTTTGAAAAAGCCTCTAACTTCCACTGTCCTTTTGTCTGATTCTTAGCATACTCCCTTTCTTCGTATAGTTATGCTAATGCAGTAAATTCCATTACAGTGCAAGTCAGTGAATGCAACACAGCTGAATGCAGCTCCTTCACTGGCTCTCCTCTAAATTTGGAGAACAGCAAACAGTGTTTTCATTCTGTCCATTTAAAGCTTGAACGTGTTACATGTAGATGATTTTTAAACCAATAGGAACATGTTGTAGAAGAAAATCTAATTTTCATGACCTAAAAAATACTTCCCTTAATTAAGCCTAATTAAAAAGAAATGTCAAATATCAAGCCCTCACTTTTATTTACAGCTTTCTTTATTTATCAATCATTGTTCTACAATACCACAATATAATGTAGAGAAATTACAAAACATGAGGAATTCATTTAAAAAACAACAACAACAACAACAACAACAATTAGTCAGGGTACATATAATTTTCCAATTAAAGAGAGTTTTTCAAGGCTTTGTAAATGCCCAAAGTCCTGATGGCGTTCTTTAAAGTCAGTAAAAATAAATTTTCTTTCCTTTTTAACCTGGTGGATATTCCAGACCATTTGCATTTATGGATTTATTACTTGCCGTGAAAAAAAACAACAACCCATATCATCTTTCTCATAACATAGTAACATTTAAGCACATTTAAAAAAAAAAATTAACAATAAACACAATAACAATTGAATAATATTAAAAAGGTTAATATTATTATTATGTCAAAATCAATCCAGAGAAATGTAACATGGACAGATTCATTAAATATAAATAAATAAATAAATGAATAATAGTTTCTCAGTCTATTGATGCGTTCAGGTGCTCTCGGATGTTCCCAGTTTACGAGTTGGAAAGTCGTTCTTCCGACTTCAGACTGTGTTTTTATTTGGGGAAGTCTGAATATCGTAACAATAGCAACAAACATTGTGGATGCTACTCTGTAACAAGTAGTATTTCAGCAAAAAGTTGATGTGCAATACGCGAATTAATAAAACGTATTAATCCCCCCCTCCGAGTTATTGTTCCGACTTGAGCAGGTGTTGATGTGCATTTTACAACTCGGAAGGTAGTTTTTCCCGATGTATTCGACTCACATGAACGCACCATAAATTCATGTTTTGATTCTCCACCCGACGCAGACTGGCGCGCGTCACGTGACCCGAGCGTCGTCCAATCAGGTGGCAGAAGAACACGGCTCGTAATTTTGAACAGACGGAGAGCAGCCGAGCAGTCAGACAGGCTGAGCCGAGGATTATTATCGAAGACTTGCCGCTACTCCTCCATCAAGTTATGGATATTTTTTAAAGCTCTTGATGAAGTTATTAAGTTGTAAAGTATGAGTTCTCATGTTATCACCCCTGGACCGTATCGAGCCACGAAACTGGTGAGTTCACGCCGAACTGGGAAAGGTCAAAGGCTACTTAACCTGCTGCTATCAGTTAGCTTCATTCATGAGAAAACATCCATTAACTCTTTAAATGTTATCCGTTTTTGACTGAGCACTTAATATACAAAACCGAAAGGGATTCAGGTTATTAAATAGACTGGCTAAGTATTAAAACATTTGTTCATTCCTGATTTAAAGTGGTCTTTTACGACATCTTCCTACCACCTAAAGTCAATTAAACGTAGCTTTGGTTGTTTTGTCGTCGTGGCTTTTCCTGCAAACACAAACTGTTTTCACGTTGATTAATTCATCAATAATGTCTAAATAAATCTATTTGCCCTTAAAATGTAAGTACAAACTATAGTTGAAGACTAATGACATATGTAGTTAGAATTTATAAGAATGTCTGAAACGTAATTGATCAATTTAATAAGCCAATTAAACCTGCAGACATTCTTATAAATGTTGACATTTATTTTATAGATAGATATTTTATTCATCCTTTCCAGGAAATTACACCGTGAGCTCACAGTCAAGAAGACATAATATATATTAAAAATATATATATATTGATGAATAAAGTCATTTTTGTAAGAAAAGAAAAAAAATATTGAGAATATGTTCAATGATGGTCTTGAAGCTAAGATCATTTTACATCATACATCATTACATTTTTCCTAATAATAGATATAAAATTACTGTTTGTTCATTACGTAAAGGTAAATGTGTGACCTATGGGACACACCTGAATCACCAGAGGCCCCACGAGACGATATTATCACAACACTCGATTCGATTTGATATTATTGTGATTTAAAACGACTGAAGAAATGTATAAAAATGCAACTTGATCATATGCATTGTTTAACCCCTTCAGCAATTAAGAATCTACAAAGCATATTTCCTATTCATACAATAAAAAAGTAAATACTTGCCGGCCATGAGAAGATATAATATCGCCACACAAAATATCTTGATGCATTGCCTTATTGATTTTTTCCCCACCTCTAGTATCTATGTATTTATTTTCAGTATTTTATCATATTTAAGAAAAGCTGAATGGTTAATTATGCCATTTAAGTTGACATTTACAGGGAATTTGTGTTTTAGCTGCAACAGCAAACATTAAAAAATATGTATATAGAAAGTATCAAAAGAGAACACGTAGACAGCAGGACTCCTTTGTCCAGAAACTCAAATGTATGAATTCAGGTTTGAAAGTGGAGAATAGTCCACAATTCATTTTGAACAAGTTGCATTGTTAACAATTATCGTGTATGAATAAAAACAAGTCTGAAGTGAGTTATACTTATTCTTATTTGACAAAACAGTTCTTGATTCAGTTTAATTTTGAGGATATAATATGCAGTTAAAAAAGTTAAACGGCAATATAGTGTATCGCAATTCTCAGCATGTCGGGAAAATGTTTAAAATTCGAATAATATCGCATCGTGGGGCCTCTGGTGATTCCCGTCCCTGGTTGTTATACCAGGGCCTCCATCATGCTGAGTGAGAAAGCAAAGCTTGTTTGCAAAAATGAAATGGTGATACTTCTTATGTTGTAATAATGATGCCAGCTTACTCTCAAATCTCTCTAAAGGTCAAAATTCCATCAGCTGTTCTTTTATTTTCTGTTCATGCACTCATCAGTCCGTACGATTTTTCTCTCCTTCTGTCCTCTTCCAGTGGAATGAGGTGACCCGTTTGTTTCGGGCCGGTATGCCCCTCAGAAAACACCGGCAGAACTTCAGACACCACGCCTCCTGCTTCACGGCCTCTGCCGCCGTGGACTGGCTGCACCAGCTGCTCCGGAACAACAGCAACTTCGGCCCCGACGTCACAAGGCAGCAGACGGTGCAGCTCCTGAAGAAGTTTCTGAAGAACCACGTGATCGAAGATGTGAAGGGTCGCTGGGGCACGGAGACCTGGAGGACAACGGCACGCTCTACAGGTACCCAGGAGAATCCTCTTCTTTTTTGTTTTCAAGATTTATTTTGGGGCTTTTTGGGCCTTTACTGGAGAGACAGGACAGTGGATGGAGTAGGGAATGACATGTGGGAAAGTAGCCACAGGTTGGATTCTAACCCGCCCAGAGGACCACAGCCTCCAAACATGGGGCGCGCGCTCTAACCACTGTGCTATCAGCGCCCCCGAGAGTCCTCTTCTTCATAATCACTTTGGGATAAAAAGAGATTAGGTGGATTGTCTAACAATCTGTACTCATATTTTGTTGTGTCCTCAGATTTCCCTCCACCTCTCCTCTGAAGACCATTCCCCGTGCAGCTCCAACCTCAGCCTCCCGCTCCATCAAGAAGCGGCCTTCATTCAGGGACAAGGACGTTTTCTTCAAGTTTAGGAGTATCAAGAAGCACGACAAGGAGACACAAGTGAGCCAGAATGATACCTGTTGTGTGCGGCTAAGTGTTAAAACACAGACATATCTCATTCTAATCAGCGGCTTTCAGGATGCCAGAATATAGTGGCAGGTTTCGAGGTACTGAAGATGACAAAACAATAATTGTTTGGTGGTGGTCTTTGCTCTCTCTGTGCTTTTACAGGAAAATGTAGATCCTGCCTCCAAGGAGGCGGAGAGAATCAGCCAATGGGAGAGCAGCAGGTGCCGAGACGAGAGCTGACAGTAGAGGATGAGCAGGAGATCTGGAGAGACACCACCCTGACCCAGTACAGTCACACACATCAAACATCACTTTGTGTCATAGACATCCTCTGCATTGAATCATAGCACTGCTATTTGATTTATTTTCAAACCTCCAGAAAGAAGATTTTATGAGGTTGAGGATTTTTGTGTGTGTTATGACTAAACATTGCGTGTTGTGTTTCAGCCTGCAGAGGATTCTGGGAGTTGCGTCTCTTGATGAAGTTTTGGACCAGCGGTACATAAACCCACAGAACATCATCCACAATATGACCAAAGTCAACAAGCACGGGGTGGTTACTCTGGACGACAAGACAAGTAGGTTCATTTCTTCTTTTTTTTAATGGTTTAAATCCACAGAACAGGGATAGCATCAGAAAACGGGCAGATAGAGAGTGGGGAATGAAGATTGAGATAAAGCTGACAATCGACAAACATCCCCTTCAGTCTACCTCATAACTTAAATAATGAGGTCTCGTCTTCATTTGAATTACACGCCACTAAGAGTACTCTAAACATCGTCCTTCGACCAGTCTAACCTGTTCATGTCTCTCTAGATGATCTGCCTCACTGGGTTTTGTCTGCCATGAAGAGCCTGGCCAACTGTGAGTACAAGAAGCTGCGGAAATACCTCAACGGCAACATCAAAAGAATTGAGCAATTGAGGAGGAAAATGCGAAATGAATCCTCTTTCTTTTTTATGCATAACGTGAATTCACAGATGTCCTTTCTGATGATTAAAATCTCAGAAATTAAATGTGCACCTTTCAGTACAGCTTACTTTAAGCTTTTACTGAAAGTTTACTGCTCTGTGTATTTCTAGGGGATAAGCTCTCCTGTGTCCTTATTTGCTTTGGTGGCTGCTGTAACATTCTGTTTATCTTCAGGGCCCAAGTACGACAGCGAGCAGCCGTCCTATCCCGGCTTTGAGAGAGACGTCTTCAAAACCGTGTCTGATTACTTCTACAGCCTCCCGCAGCCGTTACTCACATACGAGCTGTATGAACTGTTTATCAACGTCCTGGGTACGTATCGTGGACTGAGTTCACATTGGTGCTGTTTCCTGTTACTTCTGACAATGAGCTAAGTTTAGTTGAAAGTATTTTGAGGAGCTTTAAACTGGTCATGAAACACACTCATTTCTCTAAATGATTCAGACCGTCAGTGAAAGAAATCCACTTATCGCTGCCACCTGTCCGGACACTGCTAAAGTGATTTACAGCATGCAGACAGAAGGAGGCGTTGTTTAAGTTTTCTCTGGAAAACATTGGTGGTTGACCGTAAGAAGGAGCAGATTTGGGGCGCCGATAGCCTAGCGGTTGTGACGCGCATCCCATGTACGGAGGCAATAGTCCTCAGAGCAGCGGCCATGTGTTCGAGTTCAACCTCGGCCCTTTGCTGCATGTCATCCACCTTTCTCTCCTCCCAACATTTCCTGTCTCTCTTCAGCTATTCTATCTAAGATTGTATGATGGGGTAATACCAGTAAAGAGTGGCATTCTTTCAACAAGGGGAGGCAAATTGACACAACATGAATTTTCTCTAAAGTTGCTTCTGGTTGAAGTGCTTTGAAGACACTTAGTTCCAGTGGATGCTCATTGTGTTGCAGCAGTGAAATGACGCTCAAGGTGACAGGACTGACTGCGAGATCTTGAACCGAGTCCTGCAGACATGCTAACACTTTGGACGGCTAACAGAGGCTCTGGATGATGTCACTTCTGTTTGTGGAGTCTAAACAGAGTTTTAAGTGGCTGTACTGACTCTGCGTCTGTTTGCTTGTTATGTGTCGTCTCAAACCGGCTCATGGTTGTGTATGTACAGTAAATGTTTGAACTAACTTAACCCTCTCCCTCCTCTTCGCTGTCTGCTTGCACTGACACTCTGCCTGCTACCGCTTTGCACCCTCTCTCTGTCCCCTGCATTTCGCTCTCAGTGTTTTGTGGGTACGTTGCAGCGCCCGCCACACACCAACGCGGGAAGCGAAAGAAGCATGACCTCCCCTCGGCGCCTCCCCCGGCCAAAGCGTCTTTCCGCTCCACAGAGTGTCTCCTCCTGTCGCTGATCAGACAGGGGACATGCGACGAGACCGAGTCGCCCATGAGCGACGTGCTCGGCGGGAAGCTTCAGTCCCGGCTGGCGGCGCTGAAAGGAGGTGGCGGTCAGCTTGGCGGTCAGCTCGGCGGTCAGCTCGGCGGTCAGCTCGGCGGCAGCTGCATCAGCCTGAGTACAGTTGTTTCTATGAGGCCTCAATCCAGGAGCTGTTCTATGGAAACTATCCTAGACAACTCTGCCCCTCTCACCCGGCAGCAGCTTTTTCTCTCCAACGAAAGCCTGGCGTCCTGCGCCCGGAGCTACAGAAGCCAGGAAGACAGCCCTGCAGTCACGACGCCACGCTCTCATACAGACTTCACATCAGTTATTCCTGAAACTGCTTCAGGAGTTAAACCCACAAATAGACTGTCTGTGGCGTCTTTCACAGGCGCGTCGGTCACACATAGGTTGCGTTGTTCACGGCCTCGCAGCGTGGGCAGCTGCCTGGACATTGTCGTCGAAACAAGAGAGGAAGAGGTGAAGGAAACGAGCAAGTTGCAAGACCGAGCAGCCAGCTGCATCAACGTGAACACTCCTGCACTCCAGCATCACTCCGCCTCCTCTTCATCACGCTGCCCCTCGCTTTCCTCCTTACACCCTCCCGCTTTCTCCTATCACCCCCTCTCCTCCTTCTCTTCATCTGCTACCGCCAAAGCACAAGGGTCGCACGCTGCCGCGGCACCCGGTGGACCCAGACCCGCCGCCAGCACCTCTAATCTCAGGACGCTCTCTGCGCCCGCTGTTGTCCGGCGCTGCCTCAGCTCTCTGGATGTGTCGAAGCCGTCTCGACTCGTCTCGCTGCTCAAAGCGCCTGTCTGTGTGCCCACCAGCAGCTCCCAGCCCACTCAAAGCAAACCTGAGCCAAGTAAGACCCTCTCCCCTCTACCTGTCTGTCTGTCTGCTTGTCTCTGAATGTCTAATCAGACTAACTACATCTAACATCTGACCTCGACTGGCATGAGAGGTTTTTAACCTAGAAATACAACTGTGTTCATATTCAGAGGGTAAAGTTGAGATTTGATTTGAATAGGAGAGTAAAAGCGTTACATTCAGCGCTCCATTCATGGTCATAAAGGCATTGAATAGGTGACCTGGCAGTTCAGACTTTAAGGTCAGTCTTATTGTCTGTGCATTGGTCATTTTTTATTGAGATGTTTTTAATGATCTGTTTCACTGGTTTCTACAAAAAAAAAAGGCCCTTTCCTGATGCTGCATTTGCTCAAATGTTTTATTAATATAAACCTACTGTATGTCTGAGACAATTAGTGTACATTAACACTCAAGTTCCTCTTGTGCTGGCTCTGAAGTAGAAGCTAAATAAATCCTTTAAAAACAACATTGTACAAGGGTACGAGAACAAGAGAAGAAAAAGAAGTAGCGGCGTCTGTCCTCCTGGTTAGAGCAACGGGAAAGTTCCTCCAGTCACAAAACACCTAATGTTTACTTCTGACTGGCAAGCTTACATTTTCCAAATACTTCCCATGACAAGATTTAAGTGTGTATATGTATCTGAAAATGTAAAGGTCATGGAGATATCCGTACTGGAACATGAGGCACATTTTTCAGTCCTGGATCGGGCTAAGATCTGGGATGTCGATGCCTCTTCCTTCAGTATTATAGTCCATAAGATTTTATGTTTGTAGAATATTTGCTGACTAATCGTCTCTCACTGTAGCTGTAGTTTAATATTACCATCCATTCACCCATCCATTCATCTATCATATCTAGTGAATGTGGAGTGATTCTTCATCGATTGCCCTGCAGAGCTCACCCCTCTCTCTCTCTCTCTCTCTCTCTCTCTCTTTGTTACTTTATGAATGTGTGTATTTAGGCCTCCTCCAGCCTCACTGTGAGCGTGTAGCCATCGAGGCCCTGCAGCTCTGTACGCTCCTCCTCCCCCCCACCTCCCGCAGGAAATTGCAGTTACTCATGAGGATGATGTCACGCATCAGCCAGAACGTGGACATGCCCCGCCTCCACCCCGCCATCGGCACCCGGACACTGGTTAGCAACAAAAACAAACATCCTATGAATTTGCTCCTTTCTTACCTGTGTCTTTATTCACCTGTATTCTCTCTTTCTGATTTTTGTTACCTTTTTTTTGTGGTTCTTCTTCCAGATGGTTCACACGTTCTCCGGCTGCGTCCTGGGCAGCGCTGAGGAGTGTGATCTGGACGAGCTTCTGGCCACAAGACTGGTTTCATTCCTTATGGACCATCAACAGAGCATCCTCTCGGTCCCAGAGTATCTGCTCAGTGCCATCAGTGACCACATACAGTACCTGCGTGCAGTACAGGTTCGCCCTTTTACCTTTTGAAAGTTGACCTTTTGCTCTAGCAGCGACAGGGGGTCAGATTTTTAAATCATGCAGCAACCTCTGGTGTTGAAAAATCAAGCTGATGCAGAAGTGCAAAATCCTGCATATCGATGATGGTTTGCTTGAGGCTGGCTGCAGGAGGTCACATACACATCTCATTCAAAAAAGCCGTTTTTACAGCAGATATTAAAATTAAAATAAAACAATAAAGATTGGCACACACTGTACGGGGGTGAACAAGGTCCGTAGTTGACCCGATTGACAGGAGGGTGCGGTTCAACGGTTTGTCAGGAGGCTTAAAACCCGCCTCAGCTCCAGCTCTCAGTCTGTCGTTAGGTTGACTGAAAGTAAAACTGAGACAGGATTTGCAGCATGGCGACCGCCATCGATGGGCTTCCAAAGCCCCCTGCAGTAACAGATGGGGACGTCACTCAGGCTTCATCCATTAGTATTTACAGTCTATGGTTTAAATCTATCTGGAAAAAACTTTAATTGAATTTGAATGTATTTATTTTAATAGAGACAAGGCAATTTAACATAATTTCAATACAAAGCATGAAACTGATGTGCTGCATAAAGAGTATATAGCTATTGCTAATTTCCAACTCGTGTCCCCAGTTGGGCTTTTGTGTAAACAAACAGATTAAAATGTATAACATTCAGTTACATAAAACCCTGTAACGATACGAGGATACATTAAAATACATGTACAACAATACAAATGTTATAAACCAGTTTAAAATAAAGTTACAATAAAGATACTATTTAAAAGTAGGTACAGCTCTGGCTTGCTTTGAGCGTTTCACCTGTTTTGTAAACGATTTTAAGTCGGACATTAATTTTATTTCAGGTGGTAATGTGTTCCAGAGTTTGCAGCCTTTGATGGAGAAGGCTGATTGACCAAACGTAGATCTACCATGTTGTACGCTACAGTTTCCATTCACAGTGCTTCTTGTTACCCTGTTTCCGTCCTGTCTTTGAACATATCTGGAGAGAGGTTCAGGGGCCAGATTGTTGATACAATTGATAAAGCCTTTATTCATTTTGCAGTTACCGGTATAATCTTGGACTTACTCCCTTTTTAAGTCTTAACATTATGCATTAATTGATGACATCATTATGAAGGCTTTCACACCTGCAGGAAATTCCTGATATTTCCAGGAGGAGCTGTATGTGTGAACTGTTTGCACGATCTTTCTCTGTGCTGTAAAATGTTGTGCTTGCAAACAATGTAATTAGGTAACTATCTGAAAAATGCCAAAGCTGATGATGAGGCATGTCAGGCTAATTGAAAACAAAAAAGTGTAACCACAGAAGGATTTCGATGTGTCAGCTTTTGATTTATAGTTAACGTTGTGTGTTTTTTCTCTCCTCTGGTTCCAGGTCCCAGTCGATGGTGTTACTAACGCTGATGTTGGCGATCCAGTTTGCGCTCCAATGCCGATCTACGCGTTTTGCCATCAGATCAGCGGCGCCGAGTTCGAACAGCAAAAAGCGGAGTCTTCTCAAAAAGCCATGGAGGAGCTGCTGGAGATCCTGCTGACAGACCAACACCTGAGTGAGAAGGACAGACGCAAGAAACTGAAACAGGTGAAGAAGAACAAAAACAGTCAGTCTTTATTTGTATAGCGTCTATTCATAACAAATGTAATCTCAAGGGACTTTACAAAAAGACCAACATCAATCCCCCATGAGCAAAGCACTTTTACAAAGCACAGATTCAGAGAAGCATGGCTTCACCCGTCAAATATCGAAGGAAAAAAATTCAGTTATCTTGTGAGTTGATGCTACTGATGCAGCAGGGTAAGAGAGGCAATGTTTGCTTGCTCATTCATTGACCAGTAGCGGCTGGTGCGTTGTTCCCCAGGGTGGCACAACTTCTCACAAATGGACCAGGATATATCCCTTAGCTTGATGCTAACACATGCTGGAAAATGCCAATAACAGGCTAGCAGAATTAGCTTAGCGATAATTAAAACTTAGGAAATGATCTGGCATCTGTTTCCTCAACTCTGTGGAGACTAACTTAAAAAACTGCTGATGCTGCATGACTCGCTCTTTATGTCTCAGTTCATGGGACGTCGCCCTCTGCTGCCTCCTTTTGGGTGGTGTGTGTGATGGAGTCATGAGCACTTTCTGTGCTAAACCAGTTGATTTGTTAAATCTGTTCTTGTAACATAACTACTGAATTTTATTTAAGCCTACGTTCTTGGATCAGAATGGATATAATATACTAAAGTCAGTCTTTCAGTAATGAGATTTATCATCTTTGCTTTAGTTTCAGAAGCAGTACCCGGACATCTACAGCCGACGCTGTCCCTCTTCAGACAGGGAAAACAACAAACCAAAGATTAAACCGCCGCTCCTCAGCATCAAGAAGACCAAAGCTTTCAGCATCAGGAACTAAATTAACTGTACAGGTGACGCCTTTATAGAAGCCTCAGCTCTTTACATCATTATAACTGCACTCTGGTACTAAGACGTTGGAAAACTGACTTCTCTTTGCAGCATTTATCTTTTCCTTGTTACATTGGAAATGCTTACACTCCTGTTGTGTGTCATGTATGAGCTGATATGTAACTTCTGGACTTCTGCAATGGTATAAGTGTGTGTTAATGTGTGTGTGTTGACAGCTGAGTATAATGAAGGCAACACCATGTTTTAATGAAGCTGGGTTTTTTCTTCTGAAATATAGTTTTTATAGTTACACAAGTGTTTTCTCTTTAGCCTTTATTTCCCCCGCTCAGCTGTTGCCTGTTTTGCTCGCTGATACTGACCTGTGTGTGTGTGTGTGTGTGTGTGTGTGTGTGTGTGTGTGTGTGTGTGTGTGTGTGTGTGTGTGTGTGTGTGTGTGTGTGTGTGTGTGTGTGTGTGTGTGTGTGTGTGTGTGTGTGTGTGTGTGTGTGTGTGTGTGTGTGTGTGTGTGTGTGTGTGTGTGTGTGTGTGTGTGTGTGTGTGTGTGTGTGTGTGTGTGATTGTGTAGCTGTTTTCACACATGCACTCCTGAAAATTGCAGGACAGCCTGCCCCTGAAATCCTCCTGAGTTGCCAATTGGCTTATTGACATCTGTCCCTCACAGCGAGAAGAACAGTGCTGCAGGGCCTCGATGGCTACACACAGATCACACCGGTCACATGATAGAAACGCCATCACTCCCCCTCCCTCTTACACACGGGGAAATTTTCCTGAATATTTCCCGCTGCATCCTTTCATCAGCTCGCCCTGACTTCATGTGGAGATTCACACACATGCAGCTCACCCCTAACACACCCAGGAGTTTTGGTGCATGTGTGAAAACGGCTTTATTGTGTGTAAGAAACAACTTGGGAGAATAAATTTGCAATTGTGAGATCACTGGTTCACCTGGGAAATGATTAGACTTTAGATTTGTCTTTATTTATATGAACAATGATGGTGGGAGATGTGTTAGATGTGTGTTTGCTCGAAGAGTTTCTTTTCATGTTTTTAGATACTTTACTAAACATGTTATATTTTTGTGTCTGAAGTTTTATTTTAAACTCATTCTGAGCCTTTTTTTCCTTACTCAAACTTTTTATTCTTATCCTTTTGATTTTCCTCTTTTGCTTCCAATGTGATTGTGTTTTTTGTATTTCTATCTGGATATTTTGAATTTTAAGATCTTAGTTTTTTCTTTTCTTTTATTCTTCGTTTGTCATGTTTGACCCATCCCTGATTAGAGTTTTGGCTAGAGTGATATTTTGCACTGGATTTAGAAAAGTTAGCTCACGTATCACCATAAAAAGTTAATTTATGAATATTTAATTCTCCCTTCAGAAGGTTAAACTAAGCCCCCGTCATGTCAAGCTTGACTTAAATTGTCTCACTGTCTTTTTTTTCTTCTATTTATCCTATATGAAGTATTAGTGCTAGTCTGGTGTGTGTCGATACCTCAGATCAGATGTCCATCTGTGCACTCATCAGTTTTACCCTTCATGTACATTGTTTACTATGCAAACCCTGGGAAATAAACTTGTTCAGCTGTTCTATTTAAATATCTTTGTCCAGACTCCAGATGTTTATTGTCACTCTGAATGTGGGTTTAAATGTGTGAACAATTTCTGCAGGTTGTTTCCATTCAAAAGAGTTGATATTAAATGACGGATAAATGTGATGACATACAATATGTACAATTCAAACTGTGACAAAGTAAGCTGAAATAACAGTTAATATAGCAACAAAAATGGAGAGGAAAAAACATAATATAATCGATGTAATCTTGCCGATGTCCATTATTTTAATTATTTTCAGGGCAGAGTCACCTGACAACACGTCCAATCGTTCATTAATTATAATCGAGGTAAAATGTACAATTAATCATGATGTTTATTTGAGGTCATATCGCCCAGCCCTAACATATATACATCAGAATATGTTAGTAAGGTGGCTTAGGACCAGATTTGGGAAGAAAGGGGACACGCTGGACAAAAGCACCACATTTTTTCCACATAGTCTCCATCACCATAGCTTTCAATTTTTGGAGGGGAGCCACTTCATCAAGATGGCGGCCATGTAAAAAATCTAAGTGCCAATATGTCTTCCAAGCCACTAAGAAAGTCCAACTTTGTGGTCAATATAGACATTCTCTGGGTCAAGGAATGCATTAAAATAACACAAGAATGTTATTTTTGCCAAGATCAAATACATATGTTAATTTTGGCAATGTATTACATCATTTTCCTTGGTTCCTAGGCGGTTGGACACAAATAATCATGATGCTTTTGTCCGGCATGTCCCCATAATTTTGCTAAGCCGCCTGACTGTTGAAAAATACAGAAAGATACATGGCAAGTATACAAGGGTTGTTTTGATTTTACTATATGCTTTGAGTACATTCTGTACCCTCATCCTGGTACTTTCCTTATTCAGACCACTTTAAGCCGCGTTATTTACGTCCCTGTGAGATTTCATCTTCAATCTGAAAGACACTGAGTTGCAATGGGGAGGGGGGGGGGGGGGGGCGGCGAATTGATCCCCCTTCTGTATTGTCTTCAGAGGTAGTAACAGAGATGAGATGGTATCAGCTGAGACAGTAGGGATTGCTGTGTGTGAGTGTGAGTGTATGTGGATCTCCAGCTGTGCCGTGCTTCCACAATCCAGGAATGCAAAGTTAATTCACAGACCGGGACACCATAATACACCGATGGGGAATCAGTATGAATGTACAAAGACGTGATTAGTTATGGCACTTAAAAAAATAAACAGTTCAAAAAGGGCAAAAACATGCAAGACATGTTTTGTTTTTGCAATTGTAGTTTTATATTTAGCAAAAATCTAACTAGAAAATATGCTCTTGGAAACAAACAAACATTGTGTGAGTAGTTGGTGAGACATTAAGCAGCATCAGCTTCTTATCTGCATTAACACACAGAGAAACTAGAGGAAAGATTGATGTTCCTTTTAAACTTCATTCATCTTTTCTTTTTCATTCTATTCAGTGTTTGAATGTCATTCATCAAAATGACACAGGACACTAAGTAGACTGGACATGTTTAATCATTCAATCTCTCCCCCCCCCCCCCTTTTTCCCCCACCAAAGCGAGCCAAATAAAATACTTTCTGAGGCTGTCTGGAACTAATTACCGGTGTATTGGATTCTTTCTACATGCATGTAAAAACAACAGCAGAAGCAAACTGCTTCTAAACAGCTGACTGTATTAGTTTGACCATATCACTGGTGGGTAGGTGGGCGGGTGTTTGTGTTCCAGGGTCGACAAAGAAGTTGATTTGAGGCCCGGAGAACATTCTGCAAGGAGCCGAGGGCCAGATGGCTGAAAGGAGGGGAGACAAAGATGGCTTGTTCAGCTCTGCAGAGGAGAAGGAGGAGGTGGAGGAGGAGGTGGAGGAAGAGTAGAGGAGCAAAAATGCTGAAGAGGAAATCAAGGGAGAAGTGAAGAAGTTTAGAAAGGGGGAGGAGAACATGAGTGAAGGGGGGAGGAAAAATGGAGGAGGAGTGGTCTGAATTTCCATCCCTCGCCGCAGGAAATCTGTGTTTGGTTTAAATGCAAGCCAGAGTCTTTTACGCAGGCAGCTTGTGTTTGTGAGTGAGAAGAACATACAGCAGCATGGTCAGCCGGTGAGTAAAACTTTCTTTTCTCTTCTGCAGGATAGGAACTTAAAGATGCAAACGTATCTGCAAAGAAAACAAAACCTTTACAACTTGTAGATTTGTAGAAAAGAAACTCTAGAGCAGCTTAGCAGTGATTGTTGTTGTCCCTGTTAAAGAGAAAAAGATGTGTTGGTGAGTAAACATTGAAAACCTGCTGTAAAGGAAAACTTGCCTCACAATCAAAATGGTTGAACTTTTGAAAGGGCTTTGGTTTAGAGCATTGAATTATGTGATTGCTGCAGGTTAGATCAAACCTTTTAATTAAAGTTAAAACCTTTAAGACATTTTGGAGAATCAGCCCTCTTGCACCCCTCAGATTTAATTTTTAAGTTTATGTCTCAACATGCTGTGCTTTAATCTTGAAGTTTTAAATTCCAAATAAGACTACCTCGGATGTCATTGCAAATTCTAATGAGGATTGATTTATAACAGAATGTGCCAGAAAATAAAAAAGAGATACGAGAAAGGAGGTTTTAAAGTTAAAAAAAGGTCACATATTTAGCTAAATGCACTTCACCATATTTCTCTAACACTAATGTGTCTCTAGTCTGTCTACAAAACCCCCCAAATTATGAGAAAAGTCCATCCTCTCTGTCTTTTGCCTGCTCCACTTTTCAGAAAAGGTGTGCTCAAACAGGCCGTTTGGAGATTTTCCCTTCATGACATCACAAAGGGCAGTAAATCCTCCCACAGGGGGTGACACTCCCACAGCTAGGTGTTTGTTCTGCCCTCTGAGTCTGCCTTCTCACTGTAAACAATAGGACATGGAGTGAGAAAGACCGAGACACCCAAGCCCTTCCAGAGAGGGGCGTGGTCAGACACAGCTCATTTACATTTAAAGCTACAGACACAGAAACAGCCTGTTCTGAGCAGGGCTGAAATAGAGGGTTTTATAGGCATGATCAAATACAGGATCAGAGTGGATTTAGAACAAGAAACGTCACAGACATGTTTTGGGGAGCTCTGGGACTTAGTTAAACTGGTTGAAGAGGAAGAGAATATGTCACCTTTAAGAGGAAAAATACAGAAAATAAATAAAGCTGACAGTGGGAAAGACATCCCTACATTTCCATTTAGTCGCTCCTCTGGAGGCTTTAATGGTTTTACTCAAACTTCCTATAGAACAGGGATAGAAGCCAGCTTTTTATTTACTGAAGTGTAGGTGTTGTGATTTCCTTTTATTGGGAGTCAAATTAAAAAACATTGAATTTGAATTACCTTAATTCCATGGCATATATCAGACTAACATCAGAGGTCTACAAATGCCCCTAATTTCACTTAAAAAAAATTTATATCAAGAGTTAATGCACTTTGGTGTAGAGATGATCAAACCAATCAGTATTCAAGTCATTCAAGCTTTTAAATTTGGTTCGTCATTTTTCTCTCCAGGGTTGAGCATCCTGCTGCAGGCTACAGGAAGATCTTTGAGACGGTGGAGGAGCTGAATGAACCCATACCTGCTGAGATCACAGGTAGGAAACCGAGAAGGCAAATCAAGGGGCAGCAATCAATATTGCTCAAACTTTATATTCCGTCAATTTAATCCAAACAAGGTGAGATATATCCTACATGACAATGCCTTACATTTGTTGTGTAGCAGTTGCTAGGCAACAAGCAAAAAACTCCCAGAAAACCAAACTGGGTTTTTATTTTCATTAATCTAACATTTCAACACATTATTTATCTATGCAACACAAACTGACACATC